AGGTCCTCTAGTCCCCTGAGAGGACAGTAGGATTTTCCCTTTAAGTCAATTCTTGCAAGTAATCTCAAATAAGCTGCAAAAAATGCCTTCCGAATTCCACAGACATAAACCCTATGACTTCAGGGGGAAGACAGAGCACTGGGTATGCGGCAAAGGAACCAAAAGTCCTGGTCCACCAGTGACTGGTGGTGGCAACCCCAATGTGTCCCTACTCCATGGAGCTTGTGTGTCTGTGCAATGGGGTAATGTAACCTGCCAGGGCTGCTTTGAAGTTCAAACTGAGATAATGAATGGGGCCTATACAGGCTCAGAGGGTTAGAGAGTATAAATGGAAGGACAGTGATTTTATTATTAAGTGCCACCTTCGTCTTAATTGCTTGAGAAATGAGGTCGGGGAAGACAGGGTTTCAGCACTTGCTGCCTCCTAACCTTAGGAAGGAACTGTAGATGACTAAAGTCATAATCGCTCCCTGCATCGCAAGTGACCGAAGAGGGTAACAATAACTGCCCCTTAGAAGTCCCTGAGTTTCAAAGGACTGGCCTGCAAATTCTCAGAGGCAAAAAAAAAAAAAGGTTATTAACGTAGAAAAAAAAAAGTTCAACCTATCTAGTATTTTTAAAAATGCAAATTAAAACCGGGCACATTCTTTCAACCTGTCAAATTAATAATGATTAAAAACCTGACATGGGGATTGAAAGTTCAAGCCCAGCCTGGTAAACTTGGGAACTTAGCTCAGCCCCTGTCTCTAAAGCAAACAAACAAACAAAAAGGCTGGGGTTGTAGCTCATTGCACAGGCCCTGGGTTCATTCCCCAGTACCACAAAAACAACTGACCCCAACTGACAGCACTCAATACTGGTGGGAACACAGAATGGAAACGCCCATTCCCACAGCAGCAGGTGCTCACTGGCTCTTTCGGAAAGAATTTCTGGAAGAAATTCAGGAAGACATCCATATACCTTGAGCCTGGCTCTGACACAGTGATTTCTGTTTCAGACCTCTATTTTGGGGGGATAATTAGAAACCCTGACACATATAACACACAGAGTCATCCACTGCGGCACTATTTTTGCAAAGTTTGTGCATCTATATATCTAACAAGGACGGGGCTTTGAAAAAATATTTTTAGTACATCTTTGCAAATTTATTACATTAAAAGTACTTCTTAAGTGACACAGGTAGCTGCATATATTTCATGTTAAACAAAAAAAGCAGATGTAAAATTACAGATCCAAATTTATCCAGCCAATGGGGGGAAAAATAGAAACATTTGGCACAAGACACTGCAGAGTAACCATCCCAAAGTGAACAGGATTGGCTGTGGAATGGTTGGGTTGTAATTTCTTTTTATTTATTTTTTGGTACCGGGGATTGAACTCGGGTCCTTGCGCTTGCGCAGCAGGTGGTGAAACCACTGAGCTAAATCCCCAGCCCTGGGTTGTCATTTCTTAAAAGAAACTCTTCCCACCATTTTGGTTTTACCCTTCCTACCTGCACAGCATGTTGACATTTCAGTTTTTAAAATTCTGCTCATAACCTACTGAATTGATTCTACAACCCCCTAGCATGCTGTGGAACACCACTAGAAAAAGACACCGATGAGCAAGAAAAGCTGGGGCCCGCTCTCACACAGGTCCTGGTCTGGGATCCTGATTGTGTTCAGGTCATTTGAGCCACAAGCTCTCTTGGCTGAGCTTGGGCAGCAAAAGAAAAGACCTAAAGTGGGCATGATGGTACTCTGCTAGGCTGAGGCAGGAGGATCATGAATTTGAGCTCAGTCTGGGCAATTCCGTGATTTAGCAAGACCCTATCTTAAAAAGGGGGACATTGGTTGGGGATGCACCTCTCTTAGGCCCTGGATTCGATCCCCAGTACAGAAAAAAAGAAATTTTTTGGTAGCAGGGATGGATTTAATGTTGCATGAAAGACAATTCTTCCAGACTAGGGGTGGGGTGTGGGACAATTCAAGTGCACTACATTTATTGCACATTTACTTCTAGTATTATTACATTCTGCACTTCATTTCTATTATTATTACACTAGATTCTCATAAGGCACTCCCAACCTAGATCCTTCACATGAGCAGGCCACAGCAGGCTTCTCGTGTGGGAATCCAATGCCACACGAGACAGGAGGTGGCGCTCGGGTGGTAAGAGAATTCATGGAGCGCAGCTGTAAATAGAGGAAGCTTCGCTCCCTCAGCTTCCGCTCACTCCTGCCCTGTGGCCTGGTTCTGAATAGCCACAAACAGGTAATGGTCTTCAGCCCAGGGGTTAGCGTACACGGCAGAAGATTAATTTTTTAAACTGCTCCCAATTATGGCTTTTCCCTGTGATACACTGTGACCTATGGTCCCACTTCCAGATGGCTTCATCTAGCCTTTACCCCTGGGTAACTGGGAGGGGCACCTCCCCCACTGAGTGCCGTGTGGAATCGCCTGACTGTGGGTGAGTGCCGCCTGTGCGAAGGATGAGCGTGGGATTAAGAGGGGCCCGTGGGTGTCTTGGTGGGAGCTGGTGGCCTGGGCCCCCAGGAGGGACTGCCAACAGCTGTCCCTTCTGAAGCTTCTCCTGTTGGAGCCTATATTAAAAAACAGGGAGGAGAGGTGTGGTGAATTTGAGAGAAAACTAAAGAAATGTTCCAGTCTGCATAAACTGTAAGAAAAATAACCCCCTTTGGGTTCAGCTGAAGAGGTCACATGGTCCAGTCTGACAACACAGGTAAGTTTCAGAGTGGCCTCACCCATGGAGGGCAGCGAGGTTTCAGAGGCACTGCCAATTGCCATCTACCATGCCAGGTTCTAGGGGCACCCAGCTCCCACCTATCCTTACCCTGCCCCATCTCCAGAACCTTTCTTGTGTTTGTCCTTCCTTGCTTGCCCTAAGTGTGGGCCTCCCACTGCCATGCTCTCCTTGGTCCACACCTCCCATCACCACACATCCACCCCATCCCCAAAGCCCTCAACCACCCTGGGGAGCCTTCACCTGTGCCCTCTGGCCTCTCACTGTGTGTTGCTTCTTGCTCTATGTGCTCCAGCCACCCCATTAGTTCTCACCACAGGGCCTTTGTACACGTGCCGCTTCAGCCCAGTCTGTACTTCTCTTCTATCCACTTACCCAGTGGTTTCCACCTTCTTTCAGGTCTCACTTCCCTGCTACTTCCTTAGGGAGGTCCCCCAGTCCTTGGCTTCCCAGCCCACACTCAAATGTCAGCTCTCCCAGCACCAAGTGCTGCTCCTTGCTGTGTGCCTGGGTTAGTTACAGGGAGGCTGTATTCCATGTGGGCAGACACCAATCTGGGTTCCAGTCCTGGCTCTACCACCTACTGGCTGTGTCCCTGGACAGATTCTTCCATCTCCCTGTGTTTTGGTTTTCTGAACTGGAGCCAACCTCAGCAGGACTGGTGATGGTTAACTGAGAACAGTCCCATGTGATGTGCTCACAGGACAGGGATGGCGCACAGTGACACTGACTGCCCAACGTTCACACAGTGCTTGGACCATGGCAGACTCTCAGAGGGCTTCTGCCTATGGATAAATCAATGCTCCAAAGACTTAGGGATTATTTTTGCTGACTCACCCCAGGTGAGCCACCCTACCTTCGATTCCCTGCTGATGCCCTAATAGCCAAGACCCAGACCAGCGACCTCCAGCAGGCTCTGTGCTTGCATCACCCTCTCCCCATCCCAGGCCTAAGAACAAGGCACACACCAGTGCTGGTCTGGAAGTCAGGGTTCATGCTGACCCTGGGCTTCCCCAACTATAATATGAGCAGCCTTGGCTCATGGCACAGAAGACGAGTGTTAGGAACATTTCCAGAGGAGAAAGAACCAGCTTGGCCCCTCCTGGAATAATGCTAACTACGTCATTTTGAAGGATCCCCTCGAGGCTTGTGCACAGGTAATAGCAATAGTGACAGCAACACAACACCCAGCTCCAATCCTGGCCGCACTGGGAGGTCCTTTCTGCCCCAGGACTCTGCTCTGGGTCCGGCCAGGGAAATGTATGCAAAGTGATTTGTCAACGATATGGTGCTACATAAATATTTATTTGTTGCAGGTGCTGTCTTCTATTCAGTATTTCTGTGCATAACCTGGCAATATACAGAATGAACCATAGAGCTGGTCGTACTCTCTGACCTACTACTCTCATAGGGCAGAACACAGCCTGAGGAACAAAGGCAATAAAACACAAGACAAAAAAAAGAAAAGGGGAAGAGACAGAATGTCCCTAACAGTAATAGTTATATAGAGCTGCAAAACCCCAGACACGCTGCTCTTGTTCACCAAGTGGGCAGCTGTCAGTTGGAGTGTGAGGAGACAACAGGTGAGCAAGTGCCATCTGTCACTGCTGGAAGGAGACAGAAAGATCCATTCCACGTTAGGGGGAAAAAGCAACAGCAAAGGGGTCTGAGCATCCGGTAGCAAGCACTGCCAATGTCTGCAGAGTGAGCGAGGATTTACCTTTCTGGTTTTGTGATTTGGCTTTTATTGGATGTGTGTGCCTTGGGGTGGGGGGCAGGGCACTGCTGATTTTCAGCACTAAAGCTGATGAAACAGAAATTTAACATCAGACCAAAATACAGGATGCCAATATCATCAATGGTGATTGACAGCTCTGGGTGCCCAGAGCCCTGCTAGGCATTTTTAGTCCTGGAAAGAGCTCCTTCCCCCCTTACAGGGAGGACAGCGAGGCTTGGGGAAGTGCCTGCCTTGCTCTGGGATCCCAATCCACTCAGCCTGACTCCAGAGCTCCGGAGGGTGACACCCAGCTCTGTGGACTGCAATCACCCAAGGGGGTATCTCTGCCAAATTCAAATAGCAACAACTGGTGGGGAGGGACATCTGGAGAGGGAACACAACTGGGAGGCAGTGAGCACTCAGTCGTGGAAAGTGCCCTCCATCAGGTGTCACAGGGGCTCAAATGAGACCGCCACAAAGGTCCTAGGGCACTATGAAGCTCTCAGCTGGCTGAAAAAAGAAGAAGGCGGACAATTAATACCTTGCTTGCATTCAGTTCAGAGATAGCTGCCAGGATCTGCTGTCGGGACCCATCTGTCTTGATGCCCAGTTCCTGCAGGTCACCGTCGGTGAGTGTGAGGAAGGCTTCCATGTCCACCTGGGAAGAGAGAGTCCACCACCATCTGCAGGGGCCACACTCTTTTTCCAGATCCCATAGAGCTGTCCCAATGAGCTGTGATTAGTGCTTATTAGTAGTAAATTAATTATGATGTCCTACTTCCAATCCAGCGTTTCCATTTTAAAGTTTAGATGAAAACATTAAAAGCTAACTCTCTTTGGCTTCAGCCCGGGCTTTTCCAAACAGAAGCATTTTGGAAAAGACCCTTACAATGAAACAAATTACAGAGGTCTCTGAGATGGAAATCTGGGCAGTGGGCGTGGTCAGCTCCTAGTGCTGTAAGTAAAAAGCCCATCCCAATGTCACTGCACTGTTAGCAACAATGGACACTGCACGGGACAGGGTGGGCATGTGGCTATACTCACCCTGTCTCCCCGCAGAGGACAAGAGAGGTGCAGACTGTGGAAAGACAGAGTGAGAAAATAAGCAGAAGCAATAATGGACCGAGAGGACACAGAGAACCGAGGCGGTAAGGCCAGGATGAGGGCACCCCAACGCTGCATTCTTAGTTTCTGTGGGTGAAATTCTAATTGCCCTGTCATCCCTGGCTGGCCCCTGGAGAGGAAGTCAGGTTCTGTCCCAGGAGAATGGCTAGCTGGCCTCTGTCCCTTTAAGGCAGGGGGAGGGAAGGTGAAAAGTGTTTTCAGTAGAGTAAGCATACCTACCACACAGTATGTAGGGTGGTGTGACAAGTTTTAGACATAAAGGGACAAAGAACAGGCCTTAACACTTAGGAAATCTAATCCAATATGCTCCATCCTGCATACAGAATGTAGATGTGATGGCTGGAGCTCTAGTAGCCACATTGAACTTTTGGGACAAGGGCCACACAAGCTGGTAATGGTGGAACAGACAGCAGGAGGGACCCTGGATGTCTTCCTTCCAAACTATTTGTGGCAAAAATGACCTTCTATTTTGTGAAGATACTACTATTTTAAAAAAATATATCCAGCCAAATTAAAACCATCCTAATACAGGCAGAAAGTTAAAAATTATTTGTTTTGCAGTTCCATTATGACATGATGAGAACATGTATGAAGCCAATTCCTCTTCCAAGTTCTCTCTGATGACTAAAAGTGTATAATGCCAGGGAGAAGTTTTACTAGCACTAGGAATGAGGGAAAAGTGCTATCCACATACCAGAGACTTCAAGGATTTCCCACAGGGGCCAAGAAGCATCCGTGTAGCTGTGGGGACTGGGCTGGAGGCCAGGGCAGGGACACCAGTAGGGTTAAAGCTCCGTACTCAAGTCTCCGAGGAGCACACTGGGCTGTGCGTTGATGCAGAGGTGAATGCTCCCAGTGCTAAGTGGCTTATGAGTTGCCCAGAGGGAAACAAAGTCACAGGAGGAGACACCGAGTTTGGCTCCTGACAGGGGCAGGTGCCGGGCACTGTCTCAGCTCCTCCAGCCCAGCACCCTGCAATCCTCCAGCAGTAGCATCTAGCCATCCCCATGCATTGCTGAGGCCCGGCTTCCACCCTAGTTCTAAAAGCAATGGAGACTTCTGGTGGGCACATTAAACTGACTTCCCCTGACTGGAAGATTCAGAAAGCTTCACACCTCAGCTGGAACACAGCTCCATCCTTACACTGGACAGCTCCAACAACCTGGAAAATGAGTGACAAGGGACCCCAGACATGCCAGTTTAGAAAAGAGGGTAAAGCTCAGAAGGCAGAGAAAATGTTGCCTTATGAGACAGAGATGAGCTGTGCCCTCCATACACCCCAAGAGGACATGGAGCATTTCAGACAGACGAAGGTAGCCGTCAGCAATCAGAAAGGATTTCTCAGAAACAAGAAAAATCACTGCTGAAATTTCAAATGCCAAGGAGGCAGGAAGGACAGACGAGATACAGTGGAGAAGTAAACCAAGAGAGAGAGAGAGCCACTTCACCCTGTTTGCCTCTTGAACCAAAATACAAATGCCTCTTTGTATCTCAAGCTTCTTGGGGACAATCAGTAACTCTCATGATTGTTACTGTAATTATGATGGTTTTCATGTGCTGAGCCAGTCACCAGAACATTCTAAACTAGTGATTACAACCTGGTGCTAGTGGGCCTGCAGAGTTTTATTTGACGAAAACAGTGCATTTCTTTTAACATTTTACAGAGATGTAATTCATCTCCCATACAGTTCGCCAATTTAAAGTGTATGATTCAGTGATTCATAGTACATTCAGTTACACAACCATCACCATCCTCAGTTTTAAATCATTTTCATCACTCCCTCCCAGGAAACCCCAAATCCATTAGCAGTCACCCCCCATTCTTCCCTTCTCCCAGCCCCTGGCAACCATGAATGTACTTTCTGTCTCTGTGGATTTGCCTAGACCTTAGTCTAGACATTTCATATAAATAAGATCCTATCATATGTGGCCTCTTGTGACCCATTTCATTTAGCATGTTTTCAGGATTCCTCCTTGTTGTGTCATATATCACTATTTCATTCTTTTTATGACTGAGTAATATTCCATTATACATAGGTGTTACATTCTATATTTTTCTCTTCAGTTGAGTGACACTGAGTTACTTCCACTTTTTGGCTAACATGAATAATGCTGCAGTGAACATTTGTGTACAAGTTTTTGTGTGGATGTTTGTCATTTCTCTTGAGGACATACCTGGGAGATTTGTTAGGTCATATGATACCTCTAAATTTAACATTTTGAGGAAGTGCTAGACAGCAGAACAGTAATTTTTTAAACATGATTTTGAATGCTAAGCACATAGAAACTCTCAGATTACCACATTTTCCAGACACATAACACAGATTCCTCAGGATTTGCTTGTGGCCCACGTTATAAGCCTACCAATCAATCTGTGCAATAAAAATATTTTCAGGACCAACACAAACTTTTCTAGAAAGAGCAGTGCTCAAAATTATAGAATCTGATTATAAGAGCCATAAGGTCCCCAGGACTTTACTGTAATGAACTGAACTAATGCACTAGACACAACTTCTATTTCCTTGACTGTCCCAGGGAGAAAGAGCAATCTAGGTCTGTGGAATGAAAACTATGTATTAAGACAAAGGGGTTTTTTTGTTTTGTTTTGTTTTTTAACAGCAGGATTTAAAGGGACATCCAGAAAGAACATCCTTACCTCTTGCTCCTCAAAAATGGGCTGGTATTTCTCAAGCGATAACTTCTTAAGGATTCCAGTCAGTTCATCTTCAATTGAGAAAAATGTGAAACAAAAAACACATTTCAGGACTTCATAAAGTATCAAGAGCAGTGTTCAGACTTCTATAATATAATGACCACTTTATTTCAAATGCGGTCCAAACAAACTCTCAACACAGAAGGCAGATCTAAGCTGTGCTCCTGTGGTTGGGGCTGCAGGTGGTCCTGAGCTCCCTGCAAGCCATGTCTCCTTGCCCCAAGGGCAGACCCTCAGCATCTCTGAGAACCCCAGGCTGGGCTCCATGTGCGGGGGTGAGGTTTCCCTGAACGAAGAACGGAAGTGAGTCCAACAGTGGAGCCAGGAGGGCACAGACCAGAGGGCACAGCAGGGAATCAGCTGGCCAGATGGACAAAGGAGACAAGACCAGTGTCTGCGGGGCTTGAAGAATGACCCATTCCGGACTGAGCACTGAGGGCTCAATAGGGACCCAAACAGATGACACAGAGGCTGATAAGCCACAGGAAGCAATGAAGGAGACGGTGGGGTGGGGGGAAGCAACAGAGGGCAGGAAGATGTTGTTCTGCAGAGGGTGGTCAGTAAAGGTCTCCCTTGTCAGGTGATATCTGAGCAGTAAGTAAGGAGCAGGCTATGTAGCTATCCAAGGGATGAGAGAGGCAGCTCCTAAGGAGAGAGAACAGGAGGTACAAAGGTACTGAGGCAGTGGGTGAGTTCAAACAAAAGACCAGGAGATCTGGTTTATTCTTTTGCTCACTCACACAATCAGCATGGCTATCAGTATGTCTGCTGCCTGCTGGGAGCACCAGGGTACAGAGACCCTTTGGGGCAGCTGGCCAGCAGGACTCAGTCAATGGAATGATGGGGTGCTAGCTCTCACCCATTCTCATGGTGCTGGCCATTGGGCAACCTCTACACAAATGACCCATTTCCTCCTTTATCACAACCCTGGGAGGTGGACGGTGGTGTCCTCGTTTGCAGGAGAGCAAGTGAGGTGCAGAAAGGCCGGATAAGACACTTAGAAGAGGGCGCAATGCTAGACCCTGGCAAGGCAGGGACTCAAGTTCACTGGTCTGGCTTTCTGGCCAGTGCTAAGCTCCCTGCTCTGCTGTTTCTGTCATGGTGACACATGCTACGGTGAAGGGTATGGATGCGGGCCGTGGGACAGAGAGGACAGCTAGCACAGCCAAGGGACTGGGGAAAAGCTCCACTGAAGGGGGCAACTGAGAAGACAAGTCCAACCCACACTTAATCCATGGTACTTCCATATGGCAAACTTTGCTCCTGCTGCCCCTCGGTGCACAGTGTCTCTGTACAGCGAGGCAGGGGAGGGTGCCTAACAGCTGGCTGTGTGGGGAGGTGCACATGTGTACAGAGGTATGCAAATCACTGCAGACCTGACTGATATGCAGGATGTAGAGCACACTGGAATAATAAAATAGGTAACACTCCTTATTGTAAGTTCCACAGACCCAACAGAGCCTCACCAAATGCTTTCAACTGACTTCTGTCTACTCTTGCTTTCATGGGCAAGGAGAGCAGTTCCACAGGAATGCTGCCTGGCAGTTTTGTTTACATGAACAAGTAAGAAAAAAGGAAGCAAAAAAGACGTATGTTGGAACTTCAGGTGAGCAACTTGGTAAATCGGGTCATGCTTTTCACATACTGGACAAATATTTTCTCAATTGTTTGTGCTATTCACAGTTACTGTATAATGGCTACAGACATGATATACTCTTAAGTTTAACCCTCGCTGTTAACATTTTATCTTTTACTGTCTGGACTACATCTAGACAACCTATAAGACAATGATAATAATTCAAGTTCTGATTGATGGTGTTTGCCAATTTTGATGGTGTAAATCCCCTCACTGCAGCCCATGGGAACCCTCCACTGTAACATCCCAAGTGCAGCTGGTAAGAGCACACAGCAGTTCCACATCACCACCAATGGGAGGGGAAATGCCTCAAAACACAGATGACAGTCAAGCATACCAAACAGTAAAGAACATATTTTAAAAAACTGTAATACACAATTGCTCAATTATAAGTCCGTACCATTTGACTTTTAATAATGACTACATCATTTCCTATACACTTAACCAGTTCTGGGGCATGGCTGCCCATCCCTTCTTAGTCCTCGTGGACCCACACAAGTGGACCCCCACTGTTCCTGGGGTCCTGCAGGGCACACTAAGCTTTGCTGATAGAACAAGTTTGATTTGACTTGTGCCATAACCTGCCACTATGACTGTGAGTCATCCTCACACCTGGCACAAGTGATGGTACCTGCTGACTGCCCCAGAGGCTCCAAGGGATGCATGTGAGGCTGAAAAGGTGACATCATCACAGCCTGGCCACTTCCAGCAGGAGAAGGCTGGACATGGGGATGCAGGTGGACAGATGGAATAGGCAAGTTCTATATGTGGTCCTCAATAGGGCCCCTTATTTCCCAGAAAAAGATCACAAAGAACAGCTGTTTGGGATGGACTGAGGCCGCTGTCCTGTGACAATCTTATGTCCACTGGACAAAGACCTCACTTCCTCAGGATCGGAGAACTCCAGAAGGGAAAGTAGGCTTTCTGTACCAGAGGAATTAGTCTGGGATGTAACCATTGTTGGCCCTCTTCTTCTGTCCCAATTAGGGGTTTGCAAACCTTCCTTTATAAAGAGTAAGAGGGACAGAGAGCGGGCATGGATGGTACATACACTCACTGTCACAGTTCTTCCTTGGAAAAAGATACGGTGTAAATCCCTAACTGAACCTCTTGAGGTTTGGGTTCCTAAAGATCTTGGAGGAGGGGGAAGTAGGGAGCGGGGACCTTCAGCCTCCACGTGGAAAGTCTGTGTAAGTTGTTAGTGAATCTCAGAAGCCTGCGTAAATACCACACAATATAAAGCAGCCCCCCAAATAAAGAAGAAACCAGGGGTGCACTCATTCATTAACTCCACAGGGGGAGAGGCCATGCAGAGGATTCCAGTTCATCACTGCCCAGCAGCTCCTCCTGGATACCTGCCTCCCTGGCACCTGCACTGAGCTATCTGCACCACACCTGGAAGAGCCCTCCAGTGACAGCTTCTTCCCCTCTGATTTATACATCTTGATTTGCACCTGCCTGGGCCCATTTCTCACCAAAGCTGAGAGCACCCAGGGCCCACCAGAGGGCAATTTTAAAGGATGAGGTCCTCCCTTACTTTATCTTTCCTGTGCCTCACTGCCAAGCCTCCACCATCCTGCCACCCAATCCCTCCACCATCCTGCCACCCAATCCCTCTTCCTTCTCTCTGGATCCCACAGGAGGGTGAGATCCACACAGGCAGGTGCCAAGCTCTCCTGTAGTAGTGGAGCTCTGCCGCCTTTGTGTGCCCAGTATCCAATCCCGTCTTCCTTCTGGAATCAGCAATTCTCCCTTCCTTCTAGGAGCTGCCTCTCTTCTACTTCTAACCTGTACTACAAGCATTGGCAGGGTAGACCTGGACACTGGCTCCAAAGGCAAACACCTGACCAGGGTCTGGCCAATCCATACATTACACTCCTGGAAACAGAGGTGGTCAAGTGTGGTCGTGGACAGACCAAGTCATCATAAATATAGTCAAGCTAGGCCAATGAGCTGTACTCCTGGGGTTTTGCTTGGGCCTATTGAGAAACTAGCACTAAAATTAGGAAAGTGAGGTAAGCATAAAGCTGCTTGCCAGAGCTTGCAGAAAACCTACTGAGATATGGAGAGAAATGCTCTCAAAGCACTTGGATCCACACATGCTGGAAACACACCCTAGAATCTTTTATCATATGAGCCAATGAGTTATTATTTTTCCCTAATATCAGTTTGAGTAGCCTCTCTTATTTGCAACTAAAAGAATCCTGATTTGCACAGGGTTCAAGAAAAGCAAATAACCTGATGTTGAAGAAGCATTTCTATGGTTATATGTTTGTGTATACATTCAAAAACCATACCAGGGAGCTTACCGTATCTTTAGCAGGTTGAAGACAACAATACAAAGCAGAATCAGGGAAGGGGAGAGACATGTTTGCTTTATATTTTTAAAACTTGACCTAGCAATCAGAGCATCAGGTGGTTCTGTGCATCCATGTGTGAGGGAACAGCAGAGGGTTCAGGACCCCAGGGGACTCACCCTCATCTGTGATGGTGCCGCTGCTGGAGCCCCCACTGCTCTTGGACTGCCGATGGGACGAGGAGGAGGACACCGAGGACTCAGCAGTGTGGCCCTTGGGTGAAGGGGAGGGTGTAAGGGTGGGGGAGGTGCTTTTGGAGGTAGTTGAAGTTCCAGATGGAGGCCGTTTGCTGGTCTCCAATTTCTGCTGAAGAGAATCAGACAAATAAATACACATGCCATAACTGGAGGGTACAAAGGAGGAGAATAGACACCCACAACAAGGAATACAGGTAGGATCTGATGCAACAGGCTGTCTAGCAGGTCTATGAAGTCTACTACACATGCATGCAAAGCAGAAACAGCTACAGGAAAATCTATTCTGAAGCAGAGAGATGCGTGGGATCCAAGAAGCACATTAAAGATCAGGAAACCCAGGTGCTAGTCCTGCCCCTATAGCTACGAGCACTATCTGTAGAATTTGTATCTTAGCAATACTAAGCTTTCCACCTCTCCAGTTTTTAATCTTCTTTGATCACTGTTTTGTAGTTTTCAACCTGTAGATGTTGCATGTTTTATTAAATTTATGCCTAAGTATTTCATTCTCATATAATTTCTTATATTTCAAATATATTGTAGTAGATTTTTAAAACGTTAACTACAAATATTCTAATTGTTCACTGCCAATATAAAGAAATACAATTGACATTTTTATATTGAGCTTGTATTCTGAGGCCTTGCTGAGCCCATTTACTAGTCCTAACTGTTTTGGTGTAGATCTTTGAAGTTTTCTATGTAGATGATCATATCATCTAAGAGTACAGCTTTATTTCTCCTTTTCCACTCTGTATGCCTTTAATTTTTTTTCCTTGCCTATTACAGTAGCTATAGTTTCTGATACATGACAGCTGGAGGTGAGAGATGACATTCATGCTCCTGACCTTAGAGCAAAGGACTTGGGTCTTTTACTATCAAGTGTGACACCATTAACAGATATTTTACATCAAAGTCAGAAGTTCCCTTCGATTCCTAGTTTGCTGATAGTTTTTATAAAGAATGGATTTTGAGGGCTGGGAATTTAGCCCAGTGGCACTGCACCTGCCTCGCAAGTGCAAGATGCTAAGTTCAATCCCCAGTACAAAAAAAAAGAATGGATTTTGAATTTTGTTAAGTGATTTTTCTGCATTTTTTCCTTTAGTATGTTAGTAGGGTAGGTCCTGTGTTTGATTTCCTAATGTTGAACAAGACTTGCACTCCTGGGATGAACCCCACTTCATTATAACGTATTATCTTGAGCCAGGGATTTAGCTCAGTGGTTCTGTTGCCTGACCCGCAAGCGCAAGGATCAGAATTCAATCCCCGGTACCAAAAAGAAGAAGAAAAAAGAATGTATTATCTTTCTTACTTATGAAATTTGAGTTGCTAAAATTTTGTAGAGGATTTTTATATTTACATTCATGAGGGCTACTGATCTGTCACATTCTTTTTTATGTCATGAAAACGCATCCTTGTTTCCAATCTTAGGGGCTAGGAGGGGCACTTCATCGCGATACAGGGATCATTAAGATGCCATAATCCCAAATGGATATAGTACTTCAGAATAAGTGAGGCAAAAACCAATAGATCTGAAGAGAGACATAAACTAATACACAGTTACAGTAAGAAACTTTAATATTCCTCTTAGTAATTTATAGAACAAGTAGACAGAAAATCAGTAAGGATACTGACTACCTGAATAACACTATCAGCTAACCAGACCTAATGGACATTTACTGACATTTATAGAACCCCCCTTCTCACCTGCAACAATAATTTTTTTCTTGAGTATGTGTGAGACTCACAGACTAGGGCATAAAACAGACCTCAATACACTTAAAGGAATAGGAATAGAACTATAATAGAATTGAACTAGGAATCGTTAACAGAAATATGTATAAAAAACTCACAAATTATTGCAAAAGAAACAATATACTTCTAAGTAATAGGCCAAAGAGAAAGTCTCAAAGGAAATGAAAAAATATTTTAACAACTGTAGGGTGCAGGAAAAGCAGCATTTACAGGTAAATGTATAGCGTTAAATGCTTGCATTTGAAAAAAAGGGACAATCTCTAGAGTAATAAAAGTTTCTATCATAAGAAACTAGAGAAAGAAGGTAAAACTCAAAGCAAGCAAGGGAAGGAAAATTACAGATAACTTCAGAAATCAATGAAATTGGGCTGGGGATTTAGTTCAGTGGTTTCACCACCTGCTGCGTAAGCACAAGGACCTGAGTTTGATCCCTGGTACCAAAAAAAAAAAAAAAAATCAATGAAATTGAAAACAAAAAAATAGAGAAAAATTAATGAAACCAAAATTGGTCCTCTGAAAACATCAATAAACTTGATAAACCTTTAGCTAGACTGACCATGGAAAAGAGATACTACAAATTACCAATGTAAGAATGAAAAAGGAGATGTTGTTATTGACCCCACACATTAAGGCAATAAGGAATACTTTAACAACTCTACATCACAAATTCAACAACTTAGATAAAAAGAATAATTCCTTGAATGATACAAAATACAAAGCTCACTCAAGAAGAAATAAATAGCCTGAATAGTCCTATATCTATAAAGAAACAAGTTAATATAAATTTTGTTAAGTTAAAACTGCCCATAAAAGAAAATGGTGGGCTCAGGTGGTTTCACTGGCAAATCTTACCAAACATTTATGGAAAGTGTAATACCAATTATACACAATATCTTCCAGGAAAACAGGAGAGGAGATAATATTTCCCAATTCATTTCATGAGCTGGCATGACAACTTTCCCTTCAGTGCTTTAAAGTTGCTATGACATTGTTTTTGATTTGTGTGGTTCCTGACAAAAAGTCTTCTGTAATTCTTTTTTTTTCTTTCTTGGTATTTAATTTTTTTTCTGGAGGCTTTCAAGATTTTCTACTGCCTCATTCTCAGTAGTTTCAACATAATACGGCTAGATGTGTTCTTTTTTGTATTTTCCTACTGAGTGTTCTCTACAATTCTTGGATCTATGGATTTTCCATATGTCATTAATTTGAGAAAATTCTCATCCATGATTTCTTTAAATATTTTCTCCTTCTCCCCCACTTCCTTTTTTCTCTCTCTCTTCTTCTCTCTCCCTTTCCCCATTTCTCTCCACCCCCTTCCAGGGATTCCAATTATCTATATGTCAAGCATTATTCTACAAGTTTTGAGTCCTCTGGATTTTTTTAAGCTTCTTTGAGCTTCAGCCAGGGTAATTTCTACTGCTTCAAGTTCACTGATTCTTTCCTTGGCTGTTGTCAAGTGTGAGGAGCCTGTCAAAGACATTCCTAATCTCTGTCACTGTGTTATTTTATTCCTGTCATTTCCATTTGATTCTTTCTTGCTAAAGGATCTCTTGACTAAAATAGCTACTCATAGGGCTGGAGATTTAGCTCAGTGGTTCTGCCACCTGCCTCGCAAGCTCAAGGATCTGAGTTTGATCCCGGGTACCAAAAAAAAAAAAAAGGTGTAAAATAGCTACTCATATGCTCTTGTGTGTTCACATTTCCATTACAGCCTTTAACATATTAGTTATAGTATTTTACAGTCCCTATCTGATAAGTCCAACACCTGTGCCACACCTAAGTCTAATTCTCATGACTACTTTGCTTCTTGGGAGTGTGGTTTTTCTTGCCTTTGTATCGTATAATTTTTGATAAAAAACTGGGCATCTTGTGTAGCAGAGACTAAGACTGTTTTTATGTCTAGAAGTGAATATACCTTTTCTTCTACTAAAGCCTTTAATGCTCCCTCTTGCTAACTATATCCCAAAGTGGAAAAAGAAAACCATCCCTTAGATTTTGAAAGATTTTGTTAACAAGCTGCCTACACCCTTAAATATTCTTCCCTTTGCTTCCTGTAAATACATTTCTAAGCAGAGCTGCTGATTAAGCAGGAGACAATTGGTATATTGCTAGAAAACAGATTTCCCCCAACCCAAAGCAAAGAGATCTAATACTCTGGACCCCATTGGCACTACTGGGGAAGAGAAGAGGTAAATATAAGATTCCTTGTGGTTCTCTGAAACACTCCAACGGTCCTCCACATCCCCAGGGTGGAGGACTAGTTGCTGTGGTGGTGTCCTCTCCATACCTCCCAAGCCCACACACTCTGCTATGCCACTCTGGGGGCTATCTGGCTTCATGTGTTTCCAACAGCTTGGCTGGTTTTCAACTCCTGCCTTCAGGTACTTCTAGAACATGTCAGCCATTCCAGCCACCAGCCAGACAGAGGATCCCCTTAAATCAGAAGAACTGCCCAGCAAAGTTCACACTGAACTATACACCTGGAGATGTACAAGCTAAATAAAGGCTTTTTGCTGGAAACCAGCTGATACCCATCTCCAGAGGGGCTGTGGGACTTCTGGAGACCTAGGGAATAGTGGTGTGTCCTCCCTCCATCCTTTCTGCACCTTCAACCCTCATTCACACTTTCAAACATGAGGAAGGCAGCCTTGTGCGTGCCACCATTGCAGTGAGTCACTCTTCTTAAGCAAAGTATGAAAACTAGGTTCAGAGGCTCATATTTTGAAGACTAATTTCTAATTCTTCCTAAGGGAGCCTTTGAAAGCACTTCATGCTTCCATTTACTGCTGAAGCCTGTGACAGAAAGCCCACTTCTACGTCCTTTGATTTAGGGCAGTGGTTTCTAAGAGCTCTGGGCTGGGCTGGCTGCAATAGATGCTCTGTGGGGGAAAATGATTCCCTGGATCCTACCCTGAGAGCTGCAGTCAGTTATGCTGAGTGGAGCCCAGAAACATTATTAAACATCTCCCAAGGTTATAGCAGATTAGTGTGATAAGATTATCAGGTGATGACTGGACTGGATCATTTCCCCAGTTTACTGTTTCCTGAATGCATCCTTTGGCAGTCAATTTCCTTTCATCAGAAAATATGTGCATATAGGTTACATATGACATATATGTCCAAGTAAGGTAACAGTTAATATAATTTATAATTTAGATGCCTATTTCCAACACCAACTATAGTGAAAGAAGCTAACACTATCTACCATCTAGCAAGGTCATCAGAATAGAAACAGAACATTTTAGACAACAGAAGAGAGAAAAACTATCTCAAAAGCCCCAGACTAGCAGACTTACTTTAATGAGTAGCAGTGAGTTTCCTAGCACAACATACAAAAAGAGAAATATAATAATTATATAAATTCTATCTGATAAAAGAAAATATATCAAAATATAGTAGAGATTTTTCTCTACAGCTGAATTCTAAAAGAAATTTAATTACATGGGTCTTTTACAATATAATGGAAAGTAAGCTAATGTATAGAAAAAGAGAAACATTTTTGGAAACTAAATTGTAAAAGAAACCTAACAATGGATGTCCTATTGCATAAGGAACTTTGAACAAAAAGAGAGTTGTGTAACCAACAGTGGTTGGGCAGAAAATAAAGGTTATTTCTCAGACATTCATTAAAACATAAATCTAGGTGCTAGGGATACAGTCCGTGGTAAAGCACTTGCCTACACGAGAAGGCCCTGAGTTCCTTCCCACGAAAACAAACAAAAACCCAAAGACTCTGGAAGGGTTTCAAACCACAGTGGGGATAGGTCCAAGGAGAAGGCTTTCTGTGATCTAGCTCTTCTCAGGGAATACACTTAGGTCATCTAGGAAGCATGATGAAGAGTAAGGTGTCCCTGGAGTTAGGGTGCTCTCAGAGTAGGAAACCATCTATGCTGCACTACTAAGAAGCAGCTGGGGAGCCCAATGGTGGAGAGCTAGGAGCCAGCCCTTGGGGCTCTCTCTCCGAAGAGGGGAGAACCTCAGGACACTAAAAGATTCCCATCTAGAGAGCATTTAAGGTTTCTCATCCCTTTGCATACTCCACAGGCACTGGCAATGTAGTGACTATGCCCAGGTTGCATTAACAGAGAATCAGTAGATAGGAGCAAGGAGGTGAGACTCCGGCTCTTCTGCCTAACTTCTTCCAGCCCCTTCTCTATGCTGTACCCTCACTTGTGGAGCACAGGCAAGCTTTTCCCTTGTCTGGGAATAGTCTCAACTACAGCCCTGCCCACCTACCCCCTTCACTTGGCTCCTTGTCCGTCCTTCACCCCCCACTCACATGTGGCTGATAGCCTCAAGTTCTCACAGCATCCTCTTCCATCCACAAGAGCCTTTATCACACTGAGGTGGGACTTTGTGACCCCATGAAGGTGGTCACCAAGTCCCCACCTCTTGGCTGGATCCCCACTGCTAGCACCAGGCACAAGCAGACCCTCTGGAGATACCACAGTAGATGGGTGAAGTGGGGCCAAGGGGTCCCAGTAGCTGCCAGCACTGATGGCAACCCCAGGCTCCCAGCCCCTGGCCCTGGTTAGAACACATCTGCACGAGCAATAGGAGGAGCCGACGCAGAACAAGCACCTTGCTGCCAGGAACGCTGCTGTCTGCAGGAGAGACCGGGAGCTCGGATGGGTTGGACCCTGGTGCGGGCCCCACAGGACTTGACCGCTGGCTGGGCTTCTGTTCAGATAATCTGGCTGCTTTCTTCCTCTGGGCAGCAATCTGGGACAAGACACTGTCTACACTGCCACCTAAGGAAACAGAAACAGGAATGATCACCACGGGTCTAGTACTTACTGCCACACAGGCAGGTGAGAACTGTGGTGTGCTGGCTTGGCTGAACTTCATCTCACAGACACCTTGGCCTCTGCAGTTGAAGATCAGGCTGACCGCAGGAGAGTGTGGCATGAGAGCCAGAAGGTGGCCAGGGGCAATGGCCATGATACCGCAAGGGCATCGTGGTAAGAGGCTGGGAGGCACATGGGTAAAGTGCAGTGTGGCCTTGCTTTTCCCTGCACCATCTTGCCAATAAATTCCTAACTCCATGATATGCAGAGTGATCTGCTTTCTTGATTGAATCCTGATTGCCATTTTCCCTCTCCCTGTTTCCCTGCATGTACCAGTAACCTTGAGTTATTAGCAAAGACAGGAAGAAAGAGTAATACCCAGGGCTAGGTGTACTCAGGGGAGGCCACGAACGGTTACTATTTATGGAGCATTTACTATGTGCCAAGCACTGCTACAAATACTTTATACACATAAAGAGAAAGCCCTTCCAGAGAGCAAAACACATCCAAAGCCTCAAAAACAGGCAAACTTCCTGACCCTGAGTCTAGATTCTAGGGAACTTATGCAAAGGAAATCACCACACAAGCAAAGCTGAAAGCAGGAAGGTGTCACTCGGTGGCATTATCTACAAGGACAAGGACCTGGGAACAGCAAGTGGGGACTGGCCATACAAATGGTGATACCTCCTATGAACAGAATGCTATTCCGTTATTACAAAGTTGTGGTAGATATATGTCTATCAGCTAAGGAAGGGGCTCAAAGTCCTATAATGTGTGGAAAAAGAAAAAAGCAGCTCACAGAGCAGTCTACAGCTCAATAAGGTGTGTAGGTACGAGATGGGTTCTTCAGTCAGGGTCCCCTGGTTCAGGACTTGGCCCTGCTATGGAAGAGCTGTGTGACCTGGGGTGAGTTATCTGACTCTCCCAAGCCCCAATTTCCTTGATTGTAAAATGAGGATGATAACCCCACAGGTTGCCAGGAGCCTGAAAGAGATCGTTGATTTAAGTGGCTTGGCAATGTGCCTGGCATAGTGGTTAATAAATTATGATTCTTTTATAAATATTCAGAATGTGCATAAAAATACTTCGCAAAGATATACACCAAAAATGTTAATGCTGGTCCCTAGTGGAGAAATTGTAGCATTTTTGGTCTTTTGGTTCATCTGGTCTTAAAGCTTTTCCACCAGAATCATGCAGCCTTACACAATGGCCCTTCCTGCAAAACTGGCTCTGGCTCATCCTGGGTGCCCTAGGGAGGATTAAGAAGTCTGCTGTGAGCCCAAAAGAACTGCAGGGACTCTAGTTTGAGGTGAACTTGCTTGTAACACTCTGAGCTTCAGTTTCCCCATCTCTTCAATGAAAGGACAGGATGGAAACGCTCGAAGTCTTAGCCTTCAAGGATCCTAAGCACTATGAAAACACCCTGCTTTTCTCTTCATTTCTTATAAAATTTTACAAGGAAAAAAAACCATTATGACTCCATTTCCTCCCTCTCCACCCACTCTCACGCCAAAGAAAATGCATAAAACACTAAATCGTTAATTCATTGAAAACCCCTCAGCCACATCAGGAAGAAAGTCACTTGTATGTGCCACTCTTGGGCCGTCTGCAAACTGGGTGCAGGGCCAGCTGGCCCCCTCAGCCTGGGCTCAACCCTCTTCCCCCGAGAGACTCAGCCCTACGCACCTGAGCGGTTATGAAGCTCTGCTCCGTGCCTGCTCACACCTCCTACTGCGCTGGAGCCGCCTGAGGAATGAGGTGAGTGGTTGAAGCTTCCAGAATTGGCAGGAGAGGCTGGGCTCCGGGAGAGGCTGGCAAATTTAACTGGCCTGACGAGGGTCTGCAAGAACAAGGTGGTGTGGTGGTGAGGGCCTGCCGCTCCTTCCTGCAGTTGCAGAGAACCAGCACCTTCCCAGCACACCCTCGCCAACTGTGCTCAGCCTGCTGGGAGCCCCCTAAGGGATGCGCTTGCTTCTGTCTTCTAGAGAATGGGTTCCAGAAAGCCATTAGCTCAGGCTGGGCCCTTGTGACACTGCCTCCCACTGACCACCCGGCCTTCAGCTTCACTGAAATCTTCTAGGCCAAGAAGAAAACCTGGCCATGTTATTCACCAAAAAGCCCAAGAAGGCCCAGTCATCCAGGACAAAATCATCCCCCCAGAAAAGCCTGCCTAGGTGACCATCTCTCTCTACTCCGAGCTTACCTCTCTCATGCTGCCCCTGCTGGTCCATGCCTGGAACGTCTCCTCCTCTCCTATCCTATAGCCCTGCTCAGCCTGGCTCCCATATCATATCCTCAGAAAGCCTTTCTTGACCCCTTGGCCCCTAGTGCAGTGTGCCTGGTCATCTTCCTCTCTGATCTCACCAGCTCTGCTCACTTTACTCCTATTATGCAGACATCGGTGGATTCCTGACCAGTCCCTTTTGTGCCCCCGGGCCTTTGCCCATGTACTGGTTCTGCACCAACAGCTTTGACCCTTGTCCTTTAATCTGAGGTCTGATGGCCTGCCCTGCTGAGGTGGTCCATGCTGCCCCCTGCTCTCCTCTTCCAGCACCCTGGTCATTTGCAATAGTCCCTTGTACAACTTATGAGTACTCATCTACTGTCATGCTCCCCCCTGCTCCAGGTGTACTTGATCCCTGAGCTTCCCAGGGACTTCACTCTCCACTGTACTCCCAGCACCCAGCTCTGGCCTGGGCATCCTGGAGGCATTTAGGAAGGAGGACTGATGGGTGGAGTGGGCTAAATGGTGATCCCCAAAAGGTGCCACATGTAATGTCTAGGACCTCCAGATACTAGCCTTACAAGGCACGAGTGACTATTACCTTACATATGCTAATTATCTTAGATGGGCCTGGGAGTTTCCAGGAGTGGAGCTTACCCTGGATGACCTGGATGACCCTAAAGGCAACCGCATATCTTCTAAGATAGAGGGGAGAGAGAATTCTGACAATACCATGGAAGCAGAGACTGAAGAGATGGGATCACAACCTAAGAAATGCCTAGAGCCTGCAGCAGTTGGAGCAGACAGAGACAGATCTCCAGAAGGAATGTGGCCCTGCAGATACCTTGCTTCCAGGCTTAGGCCTCCAGAACTGAGACAGTACATTTCTGTCATTTTAAGGTTTCTAGATTTTGGTGATTTGTCACAGCAACCACAGATAGCTCCACCATGAGCATTCAAGGAAGGGCTGTGGCAAAAGGGAGCACATGCCTGCCATGGGCTCATCCCCAGGCTCTCTCTTCTGCATGGGGGAGAAAAACTACAGGCAGAGAATCCCAGCTCCAGTGTCACTACCTCCTGGGGCCTCCCTGACTGCCCCTGCACACCCCCCAGCACACACATTTGGTCGCTCTGGCTTTTCACACACACCTCACCCAGCACCCTGCCTCCTGCTCTGTCTTTGCTGCCCTGCTCGGAGCCTCCTCTAGGGCAGGCCTGGGCTGACTGCACTCTATGTGATGAGTAAATGAAGCAGGTGATGTTGGGATCCGGTCCCTCTGAGGTTACTGACATTCTCAAGAAAACACAGTCCTGGGAAGAACTCTCAGGGACAGTTCCACGACTCCTCCCACATTCCTACCTGACCTAGAACAGCGGACTAAAGGCAACCAGTCCTGCCTGACTTGCAGATATCTCCAGATGCCAGGCTTATCTCCCACCAGTGACTTGATGTGATAACAGGTCTGGGGCAAGGGAGCAGCAAGCACAGGGGCTCAGGCCCACCCTACAGACAGAGCCGGGGCCCTACGTGTCTCCAGCAGCAGGGGCAGTACAGACACAGTGCACATGCACTGAGAGCATCTTCCACCCTGAAGGAAGCACCTGGGTCAGGACACCACAGAAGGTAGACACTACTGTGAGCAGAAGGCAGAAGTCTCACTCCCTCGAGAAAGCACCAGCAGAGCTGCCTCCTGTGTTAGCGCTCATTAACAGACCTGAGTGATGCGACCGCATGGGACTTGATCAGAAGCCAAGAACCTGATTTCTGGTCCCAGACCCACTCCCTTCTGTCTGGGGATCAGCAGCAAATCACATCCCCTCTCTGGCTTCCAATTTCTCATCTACTAACAGGAAGGTTGGAAACTTTGTCTTCAACAGGTCTTCAAATTTTGTTCCCCAGAGCTCCAGTGTTCTAGAGAAGCAACAGATGCTCCCCAAAGCAACATTTTAATCTCTTTGATATAATGAGTTCCTTTGTAGGACTTAAACAGACAAGGATATCACTCACTTAAAAAAAACAAATAAAAGTGCTGACTCTGGGATTAGTTGGTGAATCTCAGCAGATGACACATAGAAGCCTGCTGGCTGAATGACTTACGGCGTCTGAGCCCCCGCTGCCCAAAGGATGGCCCCTGCTGGCTCTCTGGGGCAGCACTGTCTTCATGGGTTCTGCCTTCCCATTCTGATCAGTCCTGGACCGATCGGAGCTCCACAGCTCAAAGCTGGAAGGGGGCAAGAAAGGGGGGATGACTGCCTTCAGCTTGTCACTTGGGAGTCTGGTGAAGGGGGCTCCATTTCGAAGCTGAAAGAGACAAGTCAAGGGTTAGGTGAGCACAGGAGGGCGCCGGCTCCAGGGAAGTCTCCAGGTTTTCCTTGCTTCTCACAGAGCGGGTGCCACCATCCATCCTGCCACCCAATCTAGGAACCCAGGCAGTGTCCCCAGCTTTCCTCCTGGCAGCCACACAACACCCACCTGTACTATAAAGAAAGATGAGAACGAATGGGGCAGAGGGGCCAGAGGGCTGAGGAGGTGTAAGAGATGCTGGTGCAGGGGTGGGGTCCCCATGTGTAGTAAGAGGATGCAGTGGGGCCGGAGACTGGACTGAGAGATCCTACAGGACAATGCAGTGAGAGCATTCCACACACACAGGACGTGGGAAGGCTCTGGGCCCAGGTAAGCCAGGTGAGGGTGCAGAGCTGCCAGGAGACCTCGGCAAGCAGCCAGGCCTGGGGGAAGAAGAGCAGGGAAGGCAGGCTGGGAGCCCAGCTACTTCCCCACCCTGCCCCCTCTGGCCTGCTCCAGCCACGCCTCCCACTGACATTTTCAGCAACAATTTAATTTTACATTTGAAAGTGTGATGTGGGGGGGAGGGGGTCAGTACAGAATCCACATAGCCATGACTGTTGGATTGTCAAGTCCATGCTCACTTTAATTAAGAAAAGATAGCGAACTGGGTGCCAGATGGTGCTTTGCGGGGATGGACATCCCACAGCTAAACCCGCCTCAGGAGCTGGGCAGGCAGCGTCTCTGCACCAGTGACTTCGAACGCCCACTCAGCATCCACAGAGCCACAGGGCATCTGCACCTGCCAGGGAGAGTGAGCAGGGGCAGTGGTGCCCGTACAGGGCGTGAGCAGTGGGCATGGGAGAGTGCCAGGGCAGGACGGGTTCCCATGCCGCTGTGCTGTTTTGCTCAAAGCCTGTGAACCAGTGCTCTCCCCGCTGGACTCGACAACCTCATCCAGCCAGTGAGGGGCTGGGCTGGACATGAACAGCTGCAAAGCCACCAATGATGGCACCTCACCTTCTGGGTCATGAACCTAAGTTGCCACCTTTCTGGAAGTCAATGACATTCACACCCTTTGCCCAAGAGTTCCATTTCTAGATATTTACCCTGAGAAATAATTAGGCAGTAAGAGAAATGGAGTTATAAGGTCATTCAGCAGAGCTGCTGAGATAGTGAGAAACCAGAATCCCCAAAGCCCAACGGGTCAGTCTCAGACAAAGCCCTTCCATGACAGGGAGTCCTATCATGTGGCCGTTAAACATGATGTGGCTAAAGAGTGTTCAATGACATGGAAAAGTTGGCTGGGGCAAATTGTTAATAAACCGAGTAGAATGCAACACGAAGAAGATAATACTGTCAGCCTCACATGGTTCTGGGGGAGAGTAAATGAGTTGATATACATGAAGTGCCGAGAATAGTGCTGGTATTTAGTCAGTGCTGTGGTATTTGCTATTATTATGTATACACAACATGACATCATACTCATAGATGCTAAAAAACGCCTAGGAAAAATACTCAAAAGATATGTACCACAAATGCCAACCACGATTCTATCTGGGTGCGTGAGCAAGGGTAATTTTATTTTCCTTCTTGATACTTTACTGCACCTTTCAAAATACCTATAATAGCATTTCTGTCTTCATACTGAAAATAAGTATTGCAACGTAGTAACATGATCAAATGTCGGGCAGCATGAGCTCCTGGGATCAGTGTTAGGGCCACAATTCATACCTGCTGGCACAGCAAGGGATCAGGGATGGGGTCAGGGATACTGGCCGGCTCCTAGTAAAGTGACTTCCTCAGCATCGCTGTCCTTGCCAATACTGCCCTCTGCTGGCCAGGTTTAGAGTTGGTGGGACTTGAACCATTAGGTTATTCTCTTATTCATAGAACACAAAGCCCAGAAAAATGAGGTTACACAGCCAAGGTCACAGGGCAGAACTTATTCTGGGCCAAGCATCATGCTTAGTTTACAAATTAGCAGTCTCTTCTGGAGGTGATTTTGTTTAAAAACCCCCACCACGAGGGATATCGTTGGTAAGTCAAGAGACTGCAAATTGTCCACCCGTATCTACCTGGCCCCACTTCCTTAGAAATGACATCCCTGGCATTTATAGGGGCACATGAGCGACCACCCAAAACAAAGACTTCACTGCCAACCTTCCCCTGCAGTGGGTATGTGACCATGGAACTAAATTTTAGCCAATTTGATACTAAAAAAACAACAGTGACCATGCAGTTTTCCAGGAAACTTCTTCAAAGATAGCTGGCATGTATCTAAAGCCACCTTTTCTCCCTTCCTCTTCCCTGCTGGCTGACACGAGGCAGTCATCTTGGACTGAGGGGTGAACTTGGGGAGTGGAAACCACACATGGGAAACCGACAGGTAGAAGGAAATCTAGTCTCCTAGTCCTGAACTTTATGTACTTGAGAAAAATAGTTGCTGCCTTATTTGTGGCTCCATTATTTGGGTACTTTTGGTACAGCTGAACTGAATGAATCCTGCTACAGCTCTAGTTTATAGGTTAGGGTCTCTCCAGGGTTGGAAATGTTCTCTCCTCCCCCAACTCACCATGACCAAAGTGGTGCGTCTTCACATCTAATGTTGCCCACCAATGCCTCCCCCCAACCCTTCACCCAAGAACAGGACCAAGACTTACATCTGGCCACCAAGCACAGCACAGCCTTACCCATGGGTGAGGACTGGCATCTGGTCTAATATTCCTTGGTGCCAGAGCTGTACCCACTGTTACACAATTTGACCATCAACCACATCTGTGACTACCACAAAGAAAGATAAACACCCACACTCCTCCTCAAAAATCAATCAACTAATGATTGGCAGAGACCTAAAATGCTTTTAGAAAAGCCCACACTCACCAAGGTTGTCAATAACGCATCTTCTTTTTCTCCTCTCACACTCCCAGGACCTGAGAGACAAATGGAAGTTTCCTGAAATGGCCCTCCCCTGTGACCATGGCATGAAGATGAGTGATGGGGCGGCCTTCATCCTGGAAAGCCAACTCTCCTGGGTGATTAAATATTTAATAATCATTGGTATTCAATATTTTAATAGAAGGAAAGCAGTTAAAAGGTATCTCAGAGCAGGTTTTCTGATTTTCCATAAACCGCTGTTGTGCTTGGCCCGACAGTCAAGTGCCCTACTCAATAGTCTGTCTCAGACAGTGGTGCCAAAGGAGCTGCCCTGGGCATGGCACATTTGACTGTTCCAGGGATCTCAGCTGATCAATTTTCTCAGCAGTATGGAAATCTCCTTCAGTAAGCTGGCAAAGTCATCCAATCTGTTGAGTACTCCCAGGAGGAGGGATCTCACTACCTACCCTCCACAGGTAATGCACTCTGTTTCAAGACAGTTTCAGTGCCACAGACCAATCACATTTGATGGTGGGGAAAACCAGCTACCAAGACAAAGGAGAAGCACTGATTGGCCCATGACCATTTAGCAGGAAGTGTGGGGCAGGGACCTGGGACTCCTGCTGATGGCCGGTGCTGCCCACTCTCTCACTCAGAGCAGTTGTGTCCTGCTTACATCCCTTCTCCCCAGCCAGTCACACTGCTCCAGTGTTGCATTCCAATAGCATCTCATCCCTGGTGACAGATCAGGAAGTAGCAAGTGGGACAAGGGCAGCAGTGTGGGATCAGACCGGGCCAAAACTCCAATGCACCTGCAGCCTTTTCTTACCTTTCTCTTTGGTCACAAGGGCTGCACTCGGAAGCCCAGGGAAGCCTGTCTTGTCCTGGGTGTTGGCTCTCATTGTGGAGTCCAGTGCTGGCTCAGGCTCATCGGCAAAAGGTAAAGGCTGGTTGCTGGACAGCCCACGGGGCAGTGTCTGCATCAGTTTGAGCTTGCGGAACCGATTGGACATTCGGTTCCACCAGGACTGTAGGAAATGCAGAGCAGAGGTCATGCAGGGAGGGAGACTTAGGGACAGTGACTACATTCCACATACCTTTCCCCTGCTCGCCTGGCCCCACCCCAGCATTCACCACTGACAGTACCACATCCCTTCCAACAAACCATGGCTGTTGCCAGGAAGAAGCTGAAGGGGCCTGGGGACTATGGGGAGAACCTGAGTAACCCAACTGGCAAATGTCCAACACAGTGACGCACAGACACCCTGTGGCGAGGTGCAGTTCAGCCAGCTCAGGACTATATCCTACAGAATTCTTAAAAAATTCTCTGTATTTATAAATTGAGATTCCATAGCAAAATCAGTAATTTCTGGTTTCTCAGAAAAAAATGAAAGATTTTACAACATAGAACCACATTCTTACAAAGCAGCCAGTGCTGCCCCTGGATGGTTCTGATCCCCCCAGTTTTCCCTGGCCCCCATCACTTCCTATTGCTCACCACCACCTTACCTGCAGCCCTTCTGGGACCCCCAGCTAAACCAGCCTTAGCAGAACACAAAGCAGCAACCCCTGCCCTCACCATGTGCCACCTTCCTGGCCCTCTAAACCCTTTAGGACAAGGAGAAGCAAACCTTCAGGCCACCTTTGTCATCAGGTAGCACTGGGATGCTCCATGGCTCTCTGACCTTCGAGTGGGGCAGAGGTGGTGGGTGGCTGGGCCGGCCTTTGTCCTTATGCACCTGCATGCAGACAGATGCCAGCAGTCGAACAAGTTCCGTGTCTATGGGCACAAAAGGCAGTGTTTTACCTGCAAATATGTCTGTTGAGCCATGGGGGGGGGGGACCCAAGATAACCCTTGTCAGCCTTAGAAACCAGCCCTGCTGTGTCTGGGAAGCATAACTCCAGAGTCACAAGCTCAACTCCTGTCTCTCCACCTAATCTTCAAAGATGGCAAACATAAACTCAGGGCTTAACCTACTTTGCTAGGAAGAAATACCAGAAGCCCTTCTCCCACTGTGAAGGCAGGGGACAGAATGTCAGAAAGCCCAGGCTCTGCAGCCAGAATGCAGTGGAGGTTCACATTTGGCCTCTGCTCTGCCCAGTCTGTGTAAGTGCAGAGAAATTATTCAGCCACTGTATGCTTAATTTACAAGGAGGTGACATTAACACCCACCACATAAACGTGTCTCAGGGATTCAAGGCAATTTCTCTCAAGTACTTAAAGTACCTGGTGCGTGTAAGAGCTTAAGAGAAGTTAAGCACTATTAGTTATTATTAACTAGGTTATTAAGAAAAAAAAGCACTGAACAAGATTGTGAAGGAAATATTTGGGGGCTGTGGGTGTGACTCAGTGGTAGAGAATTTGCCTAGCATGTGCAAGCCTTGAGTTTGATCCCCTGCACCACGAAATAAGGGGGAGGAGGAAGAGGAGGGGGAGGGGAGGGGGAGGAAAGAAAAAAAAAGATAGAAAAAAACAGACTCAGTGCTTTCTGGCTGGGCTGGTGTATCCATGTGCTGCAAAGATGGGGCATACCAACTCCAAGAGAAAAGCTCCCGTGCTCTGGACCCTTCCAGACCCACCCTATAAGCCTGCTTGTCTACCTATATCCTTTATATTTTTTAGAATAAACCAATACACATCAAAAAAAAAGGAGGAGGAGGAGAAGAAAATATTCCCAACTACTAACAGTGGTTATTTCTTTTGATGACAGGCACTCTGTTCGCTAGCAGTGTTATGTTTATATTGTGATGTTCCCAGACAGCCTCAGGCACTCACGAGGCAGGGCTTCTGGAAGGTGACTGGACATGGGCAGTAGAACAGACTTGCTGTTAGGAGGTAGGATTTGTTCAGAAGAGGCAGGTCACTGGGGGCATGGCCTGGAAGGGTCTACCCCCTTCTGGGCTCCTCCTTTGACTCTGCTTCCCTGCCAGCAGGACAAGAGCAGCTCCCCTCCACTATGCCCCTCTGCACACTGTTCTGCCCTAGACCCTACTGACTATGGACAGAAACGTGAGCCCAAATAAACCTCTCCTCCTTAAGTGGTGGGTATTGAATATTTTCTTCCAGTAGTGAGGAAAGTGACTAAGACAAGCAGTAATGTTTCTTGGAAAATTTTAGACAAAAACTTCATTTACAAACTTGCCAGGAAAAAAATGTCTACTAGGGGCCCCCAAGGCCCAAAGCCATGGGTCTATTTTACTGGGAAGGGAAGGGGAGGCAGGGAGGAGAGGCTACTGGAAGAGACGAGTTGGTCAAAGTGTATCTGAAGGCTGAACAACTCAAACTCCTGACCTGTACGAGGGGCTCCATCTGATGGAGTGGGCAGAGGACCCCCCTCCCACGGGGCCAGATCAGCCCCCTGGGCTTGGCTGCCAGATCTCTATGAGAAGATGTGAAATCCGCCTTTCTTAGAACGCTAAGGACTGAACGGAACCACTTGTGCATCTGTGACATGTAAGCGCCTGCAGAAGGGGACAGGGTGGGGAATATGCTGGCAATTGGGGAGGGCACCCCTGCCTGCCACCCCTTCAGCTAAGAGCAGCAGCCAGGGAAACCCCACTAAGGACTACAAAGGCAAAGGCTTCTGCCCCACAGTTGGCAGCTGGGCTCCTGGCACAGGACTCCCAGTCGTGAGACTCAAAAGGGTTTCTGAGCTTTCTTCCCTCTGCGCTGAAACTCCAGGGTAATAAGAGAGGTGACATATCAGAGACCCTGTCCCTAACTGGAACCCCCAGGGCCTGGCAGAGGGCCCACCACAGCAGGTAAGGGTCAGAGGGGAGCAGCAAGGACCATCAGGGAACCAAGAGAAGCTAATAATGCTGGTGTCCTAGCGAGGCTCCATAGAGCTTCCCCACACAGCTCTGTCTCAAATTGCCACAGGGGCCTTTACATTTCCCCAAAGTCACTGGAAGACAGACACCGCCCTAGGACTTGAGGAGCTGCAAAGCAGACATATCCTTGTTTGCCCTCCCTCCTTGGAGACCCTGAAAAGGTGGGTGCTGGAAGAAAGCTCAGGGAAAGTAGGGAGGGAAGTGCCTGGTCCACTGTCTAGTGCCTTGGGCCCCAGGCACTAGAGACTGGCTTCCCCATGCATGTACAAGGCTTCAATCGAGGCTCACAGAGGCAGTGGCTATCCTGACTCCCAGGCAAGAATAACTGTGTAGATTTATAACCTTTTGCTTGAAATAACCCACCAGGATCATTCAGCAGCATCACTAGGTCAAAGGCTGTGTACCCGTTTTTTGCACGAAGAGTGACATCAGCCCCTTGGTTTAGCAGAAACTTGACAATTTCCTTATTCCTGGAGAAAAGAGAAAAAGCCAGAGTTACAGTCGCTGCTATAGTTTGGATACTGACTGTTCTCCAAAAGTATAGCCACCACAGCCGTGCTATTAGGAGGTGCTGTGGACCTTTAAAAGATGAGGTCCAATGGTCACTGGGGGATCCCAGCCTCTCTGTCTCTCTCTCTCTGCTTCCTGGCAGAGAGATGTGAGCACGTGGTCATACACATACTACCCAACAGTAGCTTTGGTTCCCTTACCAGAGCCCCAAAGCCATGAGGCTGCCTAATTTTGGACTGGAACCTTCAGAACTGTGAGCAAAAACAAACCTTTCTCTTAGTAAGTTAATTGCCTCAGGTATTTTATTATAGTAACATAACACTGACTAATAAACCTACCATTACAAAGCGTGGCTTTGTTCCTGGGCAACAAGGCTGACAACATGAACAACAGTCCCCTGTCTCTAAACATCTAAAAGGTTCATGGGCAATTGCAAACAATCCTGTACTCATCATTCTCCACCACCCAGCAGGTCAGATGCCGACACAATTGAGGGTCTTACGTTCCTTCCTCAGTCACAATGAAAACTGAGGACTCTGCCCCAAAAACACTTGGGCGCCAACTCCACTCTTTTCCCTCCATTGTGAAAGCCTCACACAGACCAGGAAATTTGACAGGGAAATTTGAGACCCATCAAATAAGAAAACCAACTGGTTACAGGTGATGTAGGAAAGAGACATGATTAGGGAAGGGAAGGGCCGCTAACTGGAGTCCGACCATTCAGAGTTCCAAAATATGACGGCTCCACTGGGCTGGGGCAACCAGGTGAGGAGCCCCCTTGCACACACTGAAGCCTCCTGAGAAGGTCAAGAGACGCCCAGGATGCAGGACCAACAATCACTTCAAGGGGCCACTTAAGTGAAAATGCCAAATGAACCAATCACGCTGTTCAGCTGAAACCAACCACAGAAACTTCCTCCTGCCTAAAAGTTTCCTGCTGTATAGTGTTTCCCAGCCTCCGTGAAATTCTTCCCTGGCCAGTGCAAAATCTGGATAGGGAAGGCTGGAACACAGGATGAAGCAGGTCTGTGCTGCTGCCACATTTTTTGCATGCCTCGATGTCTTTGCAGCCCTGGGGTTCTATGTGGTACCTCAGTGCAGGATCAGAAAACTTCACTGGGAACCCCCACCCCAGCCAGGGCGTCTGCTGAACCTGGTCGCAGAGGGAGTGCAGCTGGCACTGACCCGTGGTAGGTGGCTTGCATGAGGGCCGTCCAGCCATGCACGCTGTCCTGCTTGTCAATGTCGGCGTGCCTCTCTACCAGCAGCTGCACCAGTGGTAGCTGCCCTGTGACAGCTGCCAGCATCAGCGGTGTTGCCCCGTCCCCATTGATTAGGTTCACATGGTTGGGGTCTTCGTCGGCGATCTCTTTAACCAGCTGGAAGTTTCCTGCACACACAAGCAGGAGTCCCACTGATCCATGGTCCCAGATTCATAGGCTCCCTTATCCCACTGGTTCATGGAACAGATATCTGCTCACTGTGCCTCTACAGTGGGCCTCACAAGGCCCACAGAGGGCCTCTACTCTCAAATCCCTCTGTCTATGGGACATGAAGAGATGCCCAACCATAGAGAGAAGTGCCACCAGTGTCTTAGGAGAATGGATGAAGGACAGATGAGGGGCATGCAGAAGGGGAGGTTAGGTCTTGCTGGGGGTGAGGACCAGGGAGGGCTTCCTGGAGGTGGGGTCTATATCAAGGGAGGAAATCTTAGGCTAAACAGCCTTTTGTCATACAGAGACCAGAGTGGGTGGGTGTACAGAAAGGAGTTTCAGAGGCAGGGACAAGAAAGGGGACAGCTCAGTGACTGGCTGGCAGCGTGGCAGGGCTGAGGAGGGCAGAATCCCATGACAAATAGAGCCCTCTATGAGCTAGACCTCCCCGGTGAGACTAGTGAGTCAGGAAACAACAAATTGCCTGTTTATTTCTCAAATACTCTGGAGGGCTTGAAAAGGATGACAAATATTAGATCGGGAGAATGTGGCCCTATGTTCTTAGATCCAAAAAGATTTTCTAAAGTGCTTACCCATTTTCAAAGCATGGAAAATATCAGGTCGCCTTTTCTCCTCATCTGGGTAAACAAAGATTTTTGAAAGTTAGCCGCAGAAAGGTTTACTCTAACAGCAAAGTCACAAGGGTATAACACACAGCCTAGCTTTTAAAAGGATACACTTCTCAGAAGCAATCGAACTAGAGACCCACACAGACTGATCCCACAACCCTCCTGGAAGGATTATTACCACAGAGTTCTGAAAACACTTCTGAGACACCCCACTGCTCAGATCTCAAACTAATGAAGCAACTGATTCTAGGCATTCCGAACTCTGGGATGTCCTTTCTTATTAAAAATATATGGACTTGGGAAAACCTGGATTCTCGCAAGAATTTTAAAAAGAAACAATAATTGTTTTCTTCGAAGTAGTAAATGTTCAACCATACTCCAAGGCAGAGGACCCTGGGATACTGAGTAGCTGGCTCCATGGTCAGTCCCGGCCATAGGCACCGGAAGCGCCAATGTTCATTTTACCTTGCTTCCCAAGTCTGAAGCAATGGGAACACAACCCTTCTCAGACCTGCACACACAGCTGCTCACAGCAGTCAGAGCTGCCCACCTGGATGTCTTCCACCAGGGCGCTCCTCCTCGGCTGGCCTGGAACCCCTGCCTGCCCCATGGGACCTCCCAAGCTCACCCATCCCTCATGCTCATGCTCAGCTAGGTTCCTGCTGGTAGCCTCGTGGCTGGTCTGCCTTCAGGGGCCTGAAGATGAGATTCCTGCAGACTTCCTGGGTGGAGCAGCTGCAAGAGGACACACGTGACTCTGGCTGACCAGAGTGGAGATGAGCCCTCTCAGGCAGCTGGGAAGAGGCCACGGCCCGGTATGTGGAGCACTGAGTCTGTAGCCAGCACCCGTGAGTGTGGGTGCATGTTTCTAGCTGAGCTAGTGGTAAGCATAAGTGACATGGGACAACCTTCATGTCGCCAGGATGTTGCAAGGATCAGGTGATGATGTAGGTGGGAAAATGGTTCAGAAACATTGAAGCTCTGTTCAAAGATGATTGGTATGTTCACTAGCCACCAGGTTAACTATTTAACTACTTAATTCCAGGATTCTTTTTTTCTTTTTCTTTCAGTAGTAGGAACTGAACCCAGGTATTCACACATGCTAGGCAAGCACTCTGCCACTGAGCTACATCCCCAGTCCTTTTTAAAAAAAATTTTCAGAATCTCAAAGGCTGGGCTTGAACTGAACTTGCAATTCTCCTGCCTCAGCCTCCTAAGTAGCTGGGAATATGCCCAGCTTAACCCGGAATTCTTAATGGCAAGTATGGACTTGGCCCCAGTGCCAAGTTTTAAATTTTACCTTATGGAATACTATCAAGGAATTATGCTGCATCTCATTCTTTAAAATACAGCACGTGGCTTTAAGTATTTATGAGTCAAATTTGCTCTGGGCCGGGCTTTTCCATGCCAAGACAGTGACAGAAGAGAGAGTGGCATTTGGTCCTAGTGCTGGGAGGCACTCATCACTGATAGCCCAGCCTGACCCTGGGAGCTGTGGCAGCTGTGCCCACTGACCCTGGGCTGCTCCCTTCCTCACGCTGGGCCTCACATTTCTGTCTACATAAGAGCAGCTCCAGGGACCCTGCCCCATCCCAAGGAGAGGAAGCTTGTTACCACCTGCACACTACAGCTATGCTGGGAATAGGGCTGTCAAAACAACATTGATACCTCCCTGTCCTGCTGCTAATGCTGGAGACAGACCACAGACTACCAAGGCTTTGGAAGGAGTAAATGTCTTGACATCTCACAGAAAGAGCTAGGAATTCTACTTCCTATTTAATAACCTTTGTTATTATTAATAACACAGGCTTTGCCCTCACTGTTCTCCAACCTGGGGCTCTTCCCTGAGAGCAGAGACAGCTGATGCACTTCCTGAGCTCCTACAAGGCCTCTGAAAATCAGCTTCTCGTGGTGGCCACCCACTACCCTATTTCAAAAGGCAGCCTGCATCACCCCAGTTCTGCCACAGCTAATCCCTTGACCTTGCCCACATTTGTTTCTTTTAACCTCATGGCATTCCTATATTCTATATAATTTATTTAATATGTTTATTGGCTGTCCTCCTCCATAGAGGCCCAGGTCTCACAAGGATTTAGGTCTCACTTGTTCACTGCCATATTGCAGGAACCTTGAATGGTGCCTGGTATACAGTAAGCACTCAATAAATATTTTAAAAATAACTGAAAGAAGGTATGAGCAATAGAAATGTAGTATAGTAGTTTCCACTCACTGGGTACTATCCAAGTGCCAGGCACTGGGATAAACACTTAATAGGTATCATCTTACTAATTACAAGGGAAGTGCACTTAGGCCTATTTTAAGAAAGAGAACACTTAAGCCCTAGAGGGACAATTAACATGACCCAGGCCACCCAGCTACAGAGTGGGAGAGGGGCCTAAACTGAGATGCTCAGGCGAGGACAGCCCTCGTCTCCATCCTGCTGGGGACTAGGCTGTGTGTGGCTACTTGAGGGTCCCACTCACTGCACATGGTAGAGACCAAAATGCAACATGTCCTGTGATCAGTTCATTAAGGATCCCTTAAACAGCCCTTTAAATGCCAGAAAGATGGAAAAAGAAAAAAAAGAAACAGGACACACTAATAAGTGTTTGAAAAAGACAGAACTAAAAAGGGGGCTGATTTTCACTAACTTTGTATGACTTGGTCTTTGCTGGCAGATGAATTTAGGGACACCGTTCTAGGGCAGCAGTTGGCGAGCTACAGCCAATAAAATCGGCTCTTGCTCCCGGTCTTTGTAACTACAGTTTACGGGCACAGAGCCACAGCTACTCATTTATATAGCATGCAGGGCTACTTCCACTCTAATGAAACTGAGTAGTTTTGACAAAGACTGACTGTATGGCCCATAAAGCCTAAAGTATTTATTATGTGGCCCTCTACAAAAAAGTTTGCTGACCTTGGCTTTGGAAGGATCTCAGAACCAGCTGGTGAGGAAGAAGGACCTTGCTAAGAGGTTTCCCCAGCTCTGGTCCCAGGCATCCCTGTGCGAATCCTTAAGCACAGCAAGCTCAAACTCAAGTCAGCAGGGTGAAGCTATCTCGAAACAACGTGGGGTCCTCTGTGAGGCCATGGGTGCAGCCTCACCTGTTCTGGGCCTGACGGTGGTCAGCGGGTCCAGGCAGTCGGCGAGGTCCCTGTGCCTGCGGTCCAGAGCCACTTCGAAGGCTGTCTTCTCCAGCACACTGAGGTGGTCAGGGTTGGCTCCTTTCTCCACCAGCTGCTGGGCCACGCTGAGCCTCCCAGCCAGCGCCGCGAGCATCAGCGGGCTCCAGCCCACCGTCCAGGCCACGTGGTTGGGGTCAGCACCCCACTCCAGCAGCAGCCGTACCACAGCCTCGTGCCCGTGCTGGACGGCGGCCATCAGGGCTGTAATGTCCAGTAGCTCGTCCCGGCCACCTCCCAGCCCCAGCTGCTCACTGGAGGGGCTGTGATAGTCCACAAAGGCACCAGCTTCCAGGAGCAGCTTTACCACACCCAGGTGGCCACCCCGAGAGGCCACAGTGAGCACACTGGCCCCCAGCCGGTTCTGGGCATTGACATCGGCCCCATGGTCCAGGAGGAGGTGTGCCACACTCACGTGCCCAAACCTGGCAGGAAGATGGAGAATTAGTGACACTAAATGTAGAGCACCTAAGGAAACAGCTCATGTGATTCTCATTGGTCAGCAACTATTAAAGGCACAGAAGCTGCATGGCATAAAAGGCCTTATTTGGGTGTCAGCTATTACATTAGCTCCAGAGATGCATTGTCAACCAGGTGAGGAACTCCTCTGCCCAGTTTGGAATCCAGCACTAACTGTGTGACCCTGGAAAGAATTTCAGCTTCTCTGTGTCTTCCTTTCCTGATCTTGTAAAATGGGACTGTAATTGTATCTGCTTCAAGGGCTGAGGTTTAAGTGAATAAATCCATCCATCTACCCATCTATCTCCCAGAACAGTGCTTCACCAAACAAAGTTGCATGTCTCTATTGGCTATGATTGTTATGCATTATAAATCCTGCATCGTGCCAGGATCAACCAGCTGGTAAGGGGCAGCATCCGGGTCAGAATCTGGGTCTGTGTGAATTATGCTGCTCACTTTTTCCCCTGCACTATTCTGCCTCCCCCATCTCAGAGTTCATTTTATCCTGCTCTATGGCCTGGGCATCTGTCTCTCATTCTATCCTCTGATTTGCCCATGGGTAAGGCTCACGTCTGATTCATTTTTACCCTCCCCATCTCCCAATGTTCCCTCCATACACCAAGAAGTGTGGCCAGGCTGTGTTCAGCAAAGGGGCCCGTACACCTCTCATGGAAGCCTGCTGCCACCTGCTGGCAGGAATGTTCACTGCAGGCTGCTGAGATTGGCCTAAACCAGATTTAGCTCAGACAGATTCATGCCCACCAACTCCCTAACACCCGGAAGAAAACAGTCCAGCAAAATCTCTGCTCATTTAACAGCACTGGGCAAGAAAGCTGTGTTTTGTGCATTCTGCGCTCTCAGAGTGAGTGTGTCAGAGCTGCAAGAGGCCCTGGACCAACCGGGAAAGGATGTCACAGGGGGCCAACTATGCCAGGCACAGGGGCCAAAATGCCTTGTCACATCCGCATCTGTGAGGCCACTTTCTAGTGGGGACTCTCCCCTCCTTTCTGGGAGGATGTGTGCCTCGTCTAGACCTAGGCCTCCCTCCTCCCTCTGGAGGCAGGGCCAGAGCTGCACTCTGGCCTGAGCGCCTGCCGCACTTACTTACAAATACCTTCTAGGAAGTGAACCTTCACAGTGCAGGGTCAGCTCAGCCCGGGAGGGAGAAAGGAGAGTGGGGGGTGGGGGGCTGGGGCCGGGAGCTTGGGTTTCTTCTCCCAGAGCAGAGAGAGGGTGCAAGTCACCTGAAATATACTCAAATGCAGAAGGCTATGACCCTAGAGTCACCTTGTCCCCAGGCCTCCATGTAGCTCCCCAAACCTCAATCTGAGTGTCACCCTCCAGCTTTCCGCTGTCCAAAGAGGCTGCCTACTTTGCTGACCTCATTTCCTGCCCATTCCATACCCTCCCCGGCCCCCGCTCCCTTGTACCTACCTGTTACTTACCTCCCTTCCCTTTCCTGCCACCTTGGCCCCTCCCTTCTGTATTTGATGAGCACCAGCTGTCTTGCTCAGGCTTCAGCTCAAGCTCATCTCCTCTGTATAGATCCAGACCAACCCGCAACAGGCCAGGTCAGGTGCCCCTCTTCTGAGTGCCCACAGTTCTGTATCCTCACTCTCCATGTGCATCAAAGTCCTCTTTCTAGAACTGTCTCCCCCATTTGCCTGTGAGCTCTGGGTTCCACACATTCTTGCTTCCCCAGCCCTTAACACAGGAGCAAGTCCATATTAGAACTCAATACCTTTGACAAAGGAGTGGGTAAATGAATGCATAAATGGAATGACTAAGGAGGGGAAGGTCCAGGCAGTAGAAATAACTGAAGAACCACTGTAGACAATTACTCTGTTTGTTATCAAGCACAAGATAAAATCTAGCATAATCACTAGCAGATTACATAGGTGCTGATTTGTATTTCATTTGATTTTAGTAAATCCCAAGATAAACTCTTTACCTCCCATTCCACCAATGAAGAAACCACAGATTAGAGTGGAAGCTGGTTAATCTCAATTTGAAAGTGACATACTGGACCCTAAAACTTCAAATCTCAACTCTGCCCATGTACTCAATTTTTACAGAGGAAGGAAAGGGCTGAATTTGAGCAGAAACACTGATGTTTGGAATGTTTTCTGAACTCTCAGCCCCAAAGAACGTTCAATGAGACTGAAAATATAAAAGGATTCAACAGAGGCTGAGAAAATTTTATGATGCTAAGTTCCTAATAGGTAATTATTGGAAATGTGGATGCCAGGGGCTTTCTGAGCAGGTGCTATGATTACCAATTAATTTCAGCAATTAGCACCTGTGTTTGAAGAGCTGGCACATGTTCCCACAACTCTTGAGTACTGAGCTGAGCATCCAGATCTACTGCCCTGGCAGGCAGGAGAAGAAAGGGAAGTAGAAGACAAAGAGGCCAAGGGTGAAGTCAGAGTCAGAGTAAACACTGTGCCACATTGTACCATGGACAGAAATTGCTGGCAAATTTGGCAGTTAACTTTCTTGCCACCAACCCCAAGATAGAAATGATCAGTTGCTGGAACCACAGCTCAGAGCATGGCTGCCAGGGTGTGACTCTGACTCTACCACTTTCTCACTGTGCGGTCGTGGGCAAGTTTTCTAACCTCTCTGTGCCCCAGGGGGGATAATAACAGTACCTACTTCTGAAAGTTCTATGTGGACTGAATAAACTAATTCATTTAAAGCACTAAGCACAGTACTTGACACAAAGTGCTCGATTATGATTACCTATAATTTTATGAAGAGGAAAAACCATTAATGTAACCATTTCTGATACTAAAATTTGCACAAGAAACCAAAGTCTCCAAGTCCAGGCACAGAGCCTCTGACAGCCTGGCCTGATCTGGTGACGAGCTGTGGATAAACAGATGCTCACTGGGCTGAAAATGGTGGCTGCCAGCATATCATCTGAGGAGGATTTTGCAACACATCTAGATTCAAGGAACAAGAGCACAAGACCGAAAGTGTCTATGCACCTACCATCATGACCTGAGGGTCAGACAGACAGACTATACATCCTTCCAGCAAGTCACCTTACCTATTGTTCCTCCACCTGAGCTTTTTTATGGACTGAGCAGCAGAAATCTTGCACACCATTCAGCAAGGCAGAAGGCCCCTGAGTATGGACAGCTGGTGTCAACAACTGAGGGACAGTATACTTTAAAGTGCCCAGGCCCTGTCTAGGCTCAATGAGAGGGCAAGAGTGAATTCTAATCGTCTCACAGTATGGGATACTCTAGGAATAGAATGAGAATGTCATAGGAGTAGATGAGAATTATGTCACACTAATTTTCCCAAAACAGAACCTGTAAGGTAAGGTAAATCAAGTAATGGAGCGGAATATCATTCGTCCAAAGTCTCTCCATTTGGAAGTGACAAAGACAGGACACAATTCCCAGCTTCTTTTTCAATACCAAATTTTACAGAAGAAAGTAAGTCCTCTAAAAATGATAATTAATTAACCAATCAAAGTTTAAGTCACTCCTGAGTCTCCTGCCCCGTCAAGATGAACAGACATTAATGAGTGGAAATTAGTCAAACCATGCTGAGTGTCTTGCTGAACTTGGTGAATAGCAAAAACTAGGGATCAGGGGTCTTGGAGATACTGAGGCAAAGCAGTGCCACAGGTACAAACCTCATCAGTGATTAGCCCTGGGGCTCGCCACGTGGAGCTCAAAGAAAGGCACATATCGGTGGCTCCCAAACCCATGGTGCCACAGTCACTGGGGAGACACTGCCCCATCCTGATGCCAGGCTGCCTCAATCACAATCTCCGGAAAGGGAATCCAGGAGTCTCGAATTGGGAAAGCATCTCAGTGATTCTTAGGTGTGGCCAGGTTTGGGGACCACTGAGGAAGGCAGCCAGCTCTAATGGGTGTGGCAGACACTACTACCAAGGCCTCCTTGGTACAGAGAGGCCAGAGAACAGGGGCACAGCATGGCAGGCTTCCAGGGAGATGCCAAGTTGGGGAAAGGGATTTACTGCAGAAAGGGAAGAGGAAACTTCCCTGTATGGAATCATAATGAGGGCTCTGCAGTGGGACCCCACATCTGTTCTGACTACCTGTATGATTTTATAATCTAAATCTCACACGCTTATCTGTAAGGTGGAGACAATATTCTTGGCATATAGTAAATGCTCAGCGTTGACTTTTAATAGGAGGCGAGGAGACACAGAAAAGGCCTAGATGAAAACATCTTGGCCTGAGTTTAGGAAACGGGACAGCAGAAGAGAGGATGAGGGAAGGGGGAGCACAGGAGAGCCTCGCACACCATGCTGAGGGCTCTGGCTAGGGAACCATCCAACAGACAGGCACAGCCAGACAATCACTTCAGAAGGATCTGAAAGCTCTTAGAGGATGGAGTAGAGAGAACATACCAAGAGGGAGGAGCACAGGACAGAGGCAGAGAGGGTGGAAAGCAGGGTGTGGACAAGGGCTACAGCAGAGGCAGGAAGAAGGTTCTAGGGCAGAAACCTGGGGCTTTAAAGCCTGGGGAATGGGTGGTGCCACTAAGAAAGACGGAAAATTTAAAAGAAAGGTTGATAGCCCAAGAGGTGCTCTGGGTGTGAAATACATAGTCTTCAGACAGAGGATGCCCACTGCTGGACAGGTGCATAAAACACTGCCTTTCATTCATCCATGCAAACCAGGAGCACACACATTATAACCGGGCTACATTCCCAAACTATGTTTATAGACTGATGGACCTCAATGTCCTGGGGCTGGGGACTGGGTAAGCAAACTGCAGTCATCCCATAGGTGCACATGGTAGTTGAAAATATATTTGCAAATAATGCAGAGTAAAATTTTGCTAGGAATACAAATTTAGTTAGGTTAGAACAACTAAATGTGCTGGGTGTGGTGGCACACACCTGTAATCCCAGTACTCGGGAGGCTGAGGCAGGAGGATTGCCTCAAGTTTGAGGCCAGCCTGGGTTATATAGTGAGTTTAAGGCCAGCCTGAACTAATAGCAAGACCCTGTCTCAAAAAACAAAAAAAAAAAGAAAAAAACCCCACCTAAATGTAATACTTGGAAAAGAAACCCAAGAAATAAAATATTTTGGGATCACAATGAGAAGGAACTTTGTGTTCCCATATCTGTGAGAAAAACAAAAGGGTCCATAACTAGGGAAAGAGGCTTTCCTCCACTGACCACTTTACAAATGCAGATCACAGCAAAACTGTGATTTTTAAAAAATCTATCAGACGAGAGAAATGCAAAAGTTTGATCACATTCTCTGTTGGTGAAGCTACAGAAAGACAGGCGCTCATATGCATTGATGGTAGGAGGGCAAAGCAGTCCAACTGTGTGGCTGGCAGAACACTGGGCCCCCAAAGATGTTCACATCCTAATCCCCATAACCTATAAATAGGTTACACTACAAAGCAAAGGAGATGTTGAGGTTGTAGCAGAATGAAGGGTGCTAATCAGCTGACTTAAGAAGGGGAGAGCAGCCTAGTTTACCCCATGGGCCCAACATCATCACAAGGCTCTTTTAAATATGGAAGAAGAAAGCAGAAAGCTCAGAGCAGGGATGTAAGGATGAAGCAGAGGCGAGAGTGAGGTGATGGTTGCTGACTTTGATGACCTAAGGGCCCTGGAGCCATGGAGCCAGGCAGCCTCAGGAACCTGGGACAGGAAAGGACGATTCACCACTAGACCCACCAGAAAGAACACTGCCTTCCACACCTCAATTCATCCCAGTGAGACCTCTAGAACTATAAGATACTAAATTTGTATTGTTTTAAACTGGATTTGTGGTAATTGATTGTAATGTGAGGGAGCAATTTGGCACTATTCATCAAAATTACAAATGTTAAGGGCCTGCTTACATTCCCTGGGAAACTTCCTTACAACACGTACTCACCTGCGAAATGACACGTGTCAGATTATTCACTGCAGCATGAATGAAACAGCAAGAGACTGGAAACAACAACCTAAATATTCTCAACAGGAGCTAAATAAATTATCACAAAGGAAAATATTTGAGGCTGTGAAACATGAGGGGGGTTTATGCACTGATACGGAAAAACTGACAAAGTACACTAAGTGAAAAAAATCGAAATACAGAACAGTGTATGAAGCACGTGTAAGAAGGGGGATAAGAAAAAGTTAACAATCTGATCTGCTTTTGAGGTATGAAGCAGTGGCTCTCAAATGGGAGTTATGATGCCCCAGGGGACATGTGGCAATGTCTGGAGACATACTGATTATGACAGGCCACTGGCATCTACTGAGGAGAGACCAAGGATGATGCTACATAGTCTATAAAAAAGAATGACCCCATCTAGAATGTCAATAGTACCACAGTGGAGAAATCCCGGTACAAAGAAATGCTGGAAGGTCCCCCAAGAATCTGAGGGGTGAATGGTGGGGTCTAAGTGGGTAACAAATAGAGGTGAGAGACGTCGTGGCTCAATACTGGATGCATGTGTATGCTGTCTTATGCTTGAATCTTATGAATGAATATATTTTCTAGTCGAAACGAAATAATCCTTTAGAAAGACTGGAATTCCAAACACATTTTTCTACAAAGAAAAAGAACAATTCCTGCCCCTTACGTGTAGACCCTGACTACACCTCCATGATTGTACCCACCACCTAGTAAGACTGCTCAAATTGCTCCCATCCTAAAAACCTTCTTTTTTTTTTTTGGTACCGGTGATCGAACTCAGGTCCTTCCACTTGCGCAGCAGGTGATGAAACCACTGAGCTAAATCCCCGGCCCCTAAAAACCTTCTTTAGACCCTGAGGAAGAATCTTTCTTAACTCCAGAGGCAAACTCGATGAAAGGGCTGTTTGTACTTTCTGTCTGGGGGTCCAAGTGACCCTATCTTCCCCACCACTACCATCCTACGGCCGCTCACCATCTGGAGCTCTCCTGCCACTACTAAATCAGTCCTTGCCTTCTCTTTCCCTTCATGCAGGGACACTGGTGTACCTACTTGAAACCCTTCCTAAATTCTCAGCAATAACTTCTGCTATCCAATATTTAAATCCTAAGGGCCAGGGATTTAGCTCAGTCATTTTACCGCCTGCTGAGCAAGCACAAGGACCCGAGTTCGATCCCTGGTACCAAAAAAATATATATTTAAATCCCAGCATTTCTTTAGGTCACTGGTGGTGAACCTCCAGCACATGTGCCACAGCAGGCTGTTTGTGTCATCGAAAGCTCTAAGTGGCTTGCCTTCACTGCTCTAGGTTCTACTCAGTAGAATGGTTACCAATGTATAGGTTTTGGATTTGGGCCATTTAGGTTCAAATCCTGACTCTTCCACTTGAGGCTGTGTGGCACCAGGCAAGCTTCTTGGCCTGTCCCAGTTTCCTCTTTTGTAAAGTGGTGGGAACAGTACTCACTCTGTGCAGCTGTTGTGAAGGTTAAATGGGCTAACCTGTGCAATGCTCTTGGAATGGGGATTGCATATGGGTGCTCAATAAATATTAATGTAGTAGAATATTTGCAAAGATAATAGCAGTTATTCCCTCCCTGTTTCCAGGCACTTTACCTCTCCACCTCATCAAGCGGTACAGTCTTTATCCCACTCCATGAACCTAGGATGGCCTTGTAACTTACTTAGTTCAAGAAAATGTGGTAGACATGATCAGCATGTGTCCAATCTTAGGGACCCTGCTGCTGACATGTGAACAATCCCAGGCTAGCCTGCCGGAGGATGCAAGAGAAGCAGTCCAACCACTGGGCTCACTTCCGCAGATGTGAGGATGGTATGGACTACCGAGCATAAGGAAGGCAGAGGAGACTAGAATGGCAAAGTTGTGTGCTACAGGCATGGCTGTTGATTTAATAAAGCTTCCAAATTTATGGCGACTGTCCTCCAGCAATGGCTGATAGTCAGCTACAGGGTATCATTCTTATGGGCTACATTCACCTTAGATAATGCCTTCTACCTGAGTTCCAGTTGTTGTTAATATGCCACTAACCTCCTGTTTCCTCAGGCTCCAGACTCCCATATCCAGCTCCCTGACAGACTCTCTTTTCCCCAGGATCCTCATCAAAAGACCCGGTTTGATGTGTGCTTGAAGACCAGGCTCATTCTCAAACTTGCCCCTTCTCCTGTGTTCTCTAGCCCAGTGCACATGCTGCTATCAGCCAGAAATCTATAGGTTATCTTTACCGTTTTCCTCTCTCTCAGGTCAGGCAGTCATCACGATCTACATCCTAAGTATATATATCTCAAAGTCTTGTCTTCTGGTCTCCCTCCAATCTTCATTCTGCTCCAGGCCACCATCACTTCTTATCTGGACTGTTGCAATCCCCTCTTAACCAGCCTCTGTTCTGCAAGCGTACCTCTCCGAGTTCACTGCACTGAATGTGATCTTTCCAAAGCATAAATCTGGTTCTATCATCCACTCTGTTTAGAACCTTCCATGACTCCCCAGTGTCCTTATGTTAGTGAGCCTATTTCAGCCCTGATCTCTCCATCTGTCTTCTCCCAGTACTTCCAGCCCCTTTCCTGTCCCAAAATCCTTCGAGCTCTCCTATCACTCTTGATATCGCCTTCGCAGGGGCCTCCATCATCCCGTTCTCACCTCCCATTTTTTCTGGCCTGGTAAATTCAGACGTGCCCTGAGGTCTCCACATGGATATACACGTTATTTCTACCAAAAACCTTCCCGCTTTCCCACCTCCTCAAACTGGGTCAGCTGCCCCTAGAACTGCCCAAATCTTAGTGGTCAAGTCTGTTTCTTTGTCCAGCATACGCACCAGTTTGTGTGCTGCCTGGGTGGGCACTTTACTGGGATCAGTATTATCCGTAAGGCCAAGCCAGGATGGGCAAGCAGGTTCATAGAGAACCCGTGTGGTAAGCAAGAATGAATGGACATGTCTGAGATTCTGGATCTCTGAGATTCCATGCGCAGTCTCCAGATTGTTTTGAAAGGCCAAAGTTTCTAAAATTGATTTTATGTTAAATAAAAAGAACTTCTACTTCCAGTATAAAGTTTGCCAAAAACCGCTCAAAGTTTACCATTCCCTCTCTAAGGAGTCCTTGACTCTTTCCTTCCCCCGGCGTCCTCGAAGGTTCCGCCCCCAGGCCCGCGCCCTGAGCCTGCGCTGGGACCCCCGCGGGGACCCTGACTCACCTGGCCGCCTGCATCAGCGCGCTCCAGCCGTAGTGGTTGCGGCTGTTCACCGAGGCGCCGCGGCGCAGCAGGAAGCGCACCAGGGGCTCGTGGCCCCCAGCCGCGGCGAAGTGCAGCGCGGTGTTGCCCGCCTCGTCTGAGCAGTCCACGGGCACCGGCGCTCCGGCCGCCGCCGCCGCCGCCCCGGGACCGGCCAACTCGGGGCCCCCGGGCTCCGCGCTCGCCTCGGGCTCCGCGCCGCGCTCTGCGGGCTCCGCCGCCCCCGGCTCCAGCAGCCGCCGCGCCGTGTCCGTGTCGCCCTGGTCGCAGGCGCGCAGCAGCAGCTGGAAGGCCGGGGCCAGCCCGCCCTCGCCCATCCCGGCCGCGGCCCGCGCCCCAACGCCCCGAGGCCGAGCCGGCTCCGCTCCGCCCCCGCCGTGCCCGCGCCCGCTGTGTGCGGGAGCGCGCCGGGGCTGGCTGGGGCCGCGCCTCCTCCGCCTGAGTCGGGGTGGGAGGGCTCGGCGGGTTCCGGGAAGCTCCTGGCAGCGTCAGTCCGCTAGGCCTGTGGCTTTTCGGCGCCCGTCAGTGGCCCTGTCCCGTGGCTGGGATGACTTCCTGCTGGGTGTGGGTGTCGAGTGGCCGGCCAGCCCTTCCGCCCTGCACCATGGGCGGGCCGGGGTCTGAGGCCATGGCCACACCGGCCTTGCCGGAGACCCGCCGCTCCATGGACCCCTCAGCGCCTGGCATTTCCTAAATACGTAGTTGGTGTTTCCTAAATGATTGACTGAATTAAGGAACTAATGTGTCTGCTCTGCCCCTCCACCAGGCTCTGCGGGGCACCTAGTGCTTCCTGGTCCTTCATCTCCTGGACCTGTGTCTCTATCAGTGGTCCTCGAAGTGTGGCTCACTTGCCAGTCCCCGCACCAACTGGGACATCTTTACAAATGCAGATTTTTCTGTTCACACCCCAGACTTACCCAGTCTGAAACTCCACCAGGTTCCAGGTGTGGGATCAGTAACCTGTGGTTTAACAAGCCCTTCATTGTGTATGATGCGTGCTGAAGGCGGAGAGCCCACTTGCTTGATCTTCAGGGCAGGTCTGCTGGCTACCAGAAGGCTCATACAATCAGGCGATTTTACAGATGAGACAGTAGAGGCCTAAAACAGTGTGTCCTGCTAAAGGCTCCACAGCTGTGCCATAGAAAAGTCGTCCAGTTTTCTTTGGAAAACTTTTTTTTTTGGTACCGGGGATCAAACTCGGGTCCTTCCGCTTGCGAGGCAGGTGGCGGAACCACTGAGCTCGTCCGGTTTTCTTTTCATTCTTAACAATTATTTACTGAGTGCCTGGTGGTGCCAGGTGCCATCTATCTACTTGCCAGAGAAACTTGGGGATAGCATGACTTCTCTTGCCTTCCTGGGGCTGACAGTGAAAGAGACAGGCTGAGAATACACAATCAAGTAAATAACTTGGAATGGTGCTGAGTGCTACGAAGATAACAAGAGGACATAAATCCAGGTAAATGGGGATAGAGGACGGGATATTGTTTTCAGTACCGGGGATTGAACTCAGGTCCTTGTGCTTGCGCAGCAGGCATTGAAACCACTGAGCTAAATCCCTGGCCCTGGGATATTGTTCTATAACAAGGCAAACAGGTGTCCCTGAAAATGTATCATATGTGGAGATGTGGAGGAATTAAAGCCTTTGGGGAAGGAGCCATCCAGGGAGAGGGAACAAGGCAGGTTCTAGCAAGAGCCACTCTGCCCACAAAGAGCTCATATTTTGCCAACTGCCTATGGCAGTAACAGTAACAATCCAAAGGATGGGGTAACTGGTTTCCATAGACCATGAGCTGTGGCTCCAAACCCTAGAAAAAGGTCAGACACACAGTAGTTGGACAATACAGGACTGTTCCATGACCAAGTCCCATCTATGAAGGATTATAATAGAGCAAAAGTTGATGAAAGTGCCAGGAAGGCTGGGTCTTGGCTTTGGCAGATCAGAGCAGATAAGGATGCCCTGAAGATCTGGCTGGCAGGAGTGAAAGTTAAAGTGTTCTAGGTAAAATGTAAAAGTGGAGAAGAGCCGTGAAAGTCCCCAGAGCCTAGATTACAAAGAGCTTTGGTACCAGGATAAAGACTGCAGAGCTTATTCTTCGAGCAATGGGGAGTGGAGCAGGTGAGTTGCAGGGCTGGTGCAGACCACTGAGTCCAGTCTCTGCACTCACTCCTAGGTTTGGCTGCATTAACAAGCATGAGGATGAGGTGATTACTTTGAAAGGTCTGATGAAGATACTCGTTTCTCTGAAAATTCCCATTAATTGTACCTTTGTTTTATTCTCTTTATCCAAATGTCTTTTATTTTTACTAACTAGTTCTTTGGTCATGGTACCTTGGTTCATGAATGCTTTTGTTTGTCAGCAATTTGGTTCGCAAACAGGAGCGTTTGGCAAAATTTTGTTTTTGTTTTTGTTTGCAGACTCTGCATCAGGTGACAAACATGACCGTGGCCATCCTTCCCACCCAAACACAAACATGGCCATCTTTTCCAAAATTGTAGAACAAATTAAGTTTGTAAATAAACTGAGGTACCAATGCAATATAAAGCTGTGTGTGTAGCTTAACGCTTAGTGGTAGAGGCCTTGCCTAGCATGAGTAAGGCTTTGGGTCTGATCCCCAGCATTGAAAAAAAAAAAAGTAGGTAATCAATATTCACATTTATCTTTCTGAAAACATTTCATGCATGCACATATACATTCAGGCATTGATATGGCATCTTGGTTGGAAACAGCAGAGATTAACCCTCTAGATTAAACAAAAAGAGGATTTAGTATAAGCTTCTGCCATAGTTAGCAGATAACATTTTGGAAGCCCCAAGCCAGGACCCGTGCCCCCAGATCATGCCATAGCTGCACCCTATATACAGATGGAGTCAGCTCAGGCCCTTTTTGGTGTCACTGGCTTCAGATTCAGAACCTGAGGTAGGAGTGTCTGATTGGCCCAGCCTGGGTCACATGCTGTACCTGGCAGAAAGGGATGTTGGGAAAGCAAGTTTCTGGTTTTTTCAGCATCAGTAGTGGGAGGCAGGCTCTGCCTCAGAAGTGGGGGACTCCCCATTGTAAGTAGTTCAGATGTTCTGCAGCCGAAAAAGAAAACAAATATCTACTGCAAAATATTCCTTCGAAACATACCTTTTTTCTTGGGGAGAACCTCCTTGTCCTATGGGTTAGTGGTTAGTTCAGGTTTAAATGCATCCTGATTGGCTGTGGGCCCAGGATGTTTGCTAAAGTGGCTGGGAATGAGGCCATTTCTAGCAAGATGACCCACTGTCAGGATGTCAGGATCTTGTAAGTCAAATTGTTCATTCTTCCCTCACTCAAAGACAGTCTGCTAGTGAGGCCACCACAAAAGAAAGCAGAACAAGTGATAGAGATCAAGCAGAAAAACCTTCCCACCCTCATTCCTTTTGTTAGGTTTGTTTTGAGCAAAGATGTCCACCCTTGCAATCCAAGCTTTGACAGATGCATCATTTACTTCTTTAAATGACTGGGTTCATATTATTCTTTTAAATGAATGGGTTCATATGATGCATGTTATTCTGAATCTTGCCTGGGTTTTTTTTTCCATTTAGCAAATGTCTTGGGCATCTTTCCTTATAGGTAAATATACATCAGCTGCATCTTTTTCAATGGTTGCATATAACATCAGTCAGCAAATATACCATAATTTATTCAATCATCTTAAGTGATGCAAAATTGGCTTGTTTCTAGTATTCTGCTGTTATAAAAAAAAAAAATCTTGCATTGCAGTACTTATGGCAATCAGGTCCCAAGCAGGCACATTTAGCTGAGGAACTGAGGACGGTTTACTAAAGGGGCTTTTACAAAAATGTAGACAGGGGTTACTAAGAGCCACAGGACTGGTACAGTCTCTAGGGCCGGCAACATTAGAGTAATTACCACCCCAGGTCTGAAGGAGAAAGGAGAGCAATACCGGAATTCCAAAGGGAGAAAGCTACAGAGAGCTACAATAGGAGCTATGGCATTTAGTAGAGGGACACAGCCAATCCCACATCAACTCAGTAAGGAGGCGATCCCCATAGGAATTAAAAACCTCCAACCTCACTCTCCTCTGATCTCCTGCCATTGTTCCTTATTGGGTATCCAAGAGGAAGCCAGAGGCTGGGAGCTTGCAAGTGTAGTCCCTGCAAGTCAGCCGGCCAAGGCACAGAGCCCAGTGGAAGACACAAAGGAGCAAATGTGTGCACGTCAGTAATCCCAGCACTTGGGAGGCAGGAGGATCGCCATGAGTCTGGGGTCAGCCTGAAATACATACTGAGACCCTGTCTCAAGGGAGAGGGGCAAATGGAAGATGTCTAGCACCTTACTTCTCTGTGTGTGGTCCATGAGCCAGCGGCATTGGTATTTCCTGGGATCCTGTTAGAAGTACAGCATCTTGGGCCCACCCTAGCTGTATTGAAGGAGAATGTGCATTTCAGCATGATCCTCGGGTGATTCTGGTGTGCATTAAAGACTGAGCACATACATTTCTTACACAAATATATCTATATATCTTACTGTTTATGAACTCTCTTTCAGCATTTTTTTTTTCATTGAGCCCTATGTTGGTTTGGGTCCTCTGAAAATCAGATGTCTAGATTTTTGAAGTGGTTTTTGTTTTGTTTTGGTTTTTTTCTGGGAAACATGTCATGAAAGATCAAGCTGAAAGGTGGAGGAGAAGGAAAGGGGAGCTCTTAGACCGTGATGCAGGTCTGATGCCTGCAAAAGGAGAGGGGGACGCTAGGTGCTTTAGCCCACAACACTGTTTTGAGGGAGTTTCACCCAGGCCTACGGGAGTTCCAAACAAAGGCTGCCTGCCTAGATTTCGTGCATCCACCATGCTGGTCACTGATGGGAGAAGCTAGAGGACATCAAAAAGGTTTTGAAGGGAGAGCAGCTGGAAGCTCTCCAGCAGGTTCTCTTAAAGGGTAACCTGAGCAGAACACCTGCATTCTCGACATAGTGGCCATTTGACTACCATTTATTGGCTGCTTTTTGTTTGCCAGGCATTTGGTGTGTTGAAGGGTAGGAAAATGACCTTGGGCTCCCAGAGCATCCCTCAAAACTGCAGGCCAGTGAGCTTTCATCATTAGTTCAGGGGAAGGTATCACAGCTCTGTGTGCTAGGGGACACAGCATCATGGGAGAGCTGGTCACAGGTTGGGCAGAAAGGATGAGTGGAGTCTAGGAGGATAGATGGACTCTAGCTAGTTGTACGAAAAGAGAAGAAACAGATTGGAAGGCTGGAGCTGGGGTTCAGGGAGATTTGAGACTAGGGCAATAAATTAGGCAGGAAGTCAAGAGGGTTCAGAGTAAATAATC